TAGAATATTCATAGAGTAAATAGGTTAGAAGTATTCAGGGATATGAGATGATTGCATTGAAAACGTTTAGGCTTTGTCAGATGAAGTAACCGCATGGGACAGGGCTGACACATCACAAGTCTCCAATGAGTCCTATAAAAGACTCTAAGAGGAAACCGGCAAAATGTCCTTTGGACCACCCTGGTGTAGTTTGTGTGTGTGTGGAGAGTCTTTCGAAGATTTTTGAACAGTTGATAAAAGGTAGCTAACATGGCTGCAAGCTGTACGTCTCCTCCCAAACAATCTGAAACACAAGATAAAAAGAAAAACATGAGAGTATTGTTTTCAATAAGATAACACTAGGTAGGCCTACTTATTTTATTTCAAAGTATTATGTCAATAAAAGTACCTAAGGAGTGTGATTAAGGAGTTACAAATATTTTTTAAATATTTTCCTTATAAACAAAAATTTTTAACATAATTTCTGCCACTTGCATAAGCTTAATACTTGCTGAGGTAAAGTTGTTCTAAAAAGGATACAGTTTCAATGAAAATATGCGTTAAATTGATAAATGTGTTTTTAATAGGTATATTTCTAACTAGCTGTACCCGCGGGCTTCGCCCCGTTTAACTTCATAAGTATTCGCATGGCTCATTCACGTCCTGGTTGAAGTTCGTTCGCTACGCTCACTCACCTTTAGGTTGAAGCTCGTTCGCTGCGCTCACTTGCCTTCAGGTTAGCTCGTTCGCTACGCTAACTCGCCTCCAGATTGAAGTTCGTTCGCTACGCTCACTCATCTTTTGGTTAAAAATTAGCTGTTGTCATATATTTAAAAAAAATTAATAGTGCTGCACCCTGTTGGTAATCCTTTTAACTTTTATGCTATTGAACATCATAGAACAGAACCAACTTGTTTAATTGTATCAGCTGTTAAGATTCATTAAATTCCTTTTAAATATGAAAAATCATAAGATTAACATGGGGAACTACAGAGCCACTGGGGCGGAGCCCGAAAGGGTTTTTGAGATAAGAATATGCTTTAATGTTAATCGGGAATGTGAGCTATCATCATGCCAAATTTCAGCCCAATCCGTCCAGTAGTTTATGCGTGATTGAGCAACACACACACAAACACACACACAAACATACACACAAACATACACACAAACTCACAAACTTTCAGATTTATAATATTAGTAAGATAAGATATTTTAAGTTTCGGAACTGAAACATGTGTGAGAAATATAGTTATTTACATGATCCCTCTTTTTACTGCTCCTTCGTAGGATTTCAAACCATTTAGCAATCAAAAGCAGTAATAATGTGTAGGCTACTTCATAATTTTTTTTTATGTTCGATAAAATATAAGATTTTAAAATAGAGATCCTAGATTCCAATTTGACAACATGCTTGATCGAATACAACCCTGCGTTGAATACATCTTGATGTGTGTAATCTTTTATTATCAATTATTGAGATGGGGACGCCACCTATGTGCATATTTTACCCATAGTTTAAAGTTAGTATTCCTGGGTTTGCACTTATTTAAATTCTGACTAACCATTATATTGTAAGGTTAAACCTCATAACCAACATTTACTGGTAATATTTTGTTTATTTTCAATTATTTTTAAACATTGTCTCTTTTAATTTTTTATTGCTTGTGAAAAAATTATTTAAGCATATAATTTTGTATATGCATGAGGACCATCCTTATCAATATAAAAATAACATTTACCCTTCAAACAGTTAGTAAATTATTCTTAATTTTTTTTATTTTATGTGTGGCACATTAGCTTTAAAACAATGAAGTAATAATAGGTACCTTCTAACAATTTTTGCATCATAAAATTGGCCTATAATTAATTAAAGACTTACCTTGGTTTTATTGCTGTTTTCTTTCATCAGAGACACGGAGCTACTTAAAAACTATCTAGAAAGTATTTAAAAACTTGTAACATTGTGTTAATTTAATTCTACATAATTTTCATGTTAAAAATATATAAATCAGTACTGTAATAAAAACGTTTAAAATTTGGTTTTTATTAGCAAAACATTTCTCATCGGATCTCAGTTAAATCATTGGTATTGAAGGTTAAATGGTTAAATCTATACCTGTCCATTCTAAATAAAATATGTCAATGAAAAGTATAGGCTAAAGTATTTTTATTTTACTTTATGTAAACAAACAACAAATAAAACATATGGTTTTTCAAAATAAATGAAAATTATTTAGCTATTGATAACTTTAAGTGTACAAACAATTTCAAACTCAAAGAACTCTTCAGAACTTACTTAAATATAATTATAGTAGTTTTCCAAATTAATTGATTGGAGTGTTGATGAAATGCAGTACTAACTACATTCCTTCATGTAATTTTGAGACGTGTTCATGTTTTCAAGTTTAGTGATTTTTAGAGCTTGGAATATCAAGTCATGAAACAACCATTTGTGTTCAATAATAAACCTAAAATGGACCAGAAGGTAATTGTTTTCTCTTATGAATCAATTTGACGTTTTGCACTTAAACAAAAAATTAAATTTCAATTTAGATAATTTAGGATTCCCTATCTCAATCAGAAAAAAACATTTGAAATCATACTTATGTCAAATCAATCTACTATCATAGAAACGGGATGAGTTTAACAAATAAAAGCTAAGCTAGAAATTCGATTAAGATTCTTTTAATCATGTCCCAAATAATCTACACGTTCTCATAATTAATTCATCCAAAGCTAAGTATATGATAAAACTTATCTACCGGTAGGCCTACGTTTCTAATTTACAGTTTTACTCTTCAATTTCTTATTATATTACTCACGATACAGAGAGCTTGTGACTTGTTTGAAGTTAATTTAAAATATGAATTTTGTTGCTAGGTAACTCATTTATGATTCTTTCAAAAGTTATCTATTTCTGCTATGTTTAGTTGTAACCAAGGTGAAGTAAAATGTTTTAAACAAAGTATTTTCTTGATCGCAAGGGCAGTCCCAGGGGGGCGTCAAGGTTGCTGTGACCCCCCCTCCAAAATATTTTTATATGATATTTTAGTGACGTTGCTGTCACTGCTACCACCAGCAAAATTGGTTCTCAGCGTTCTCATTTTTTTTCTAGGCCAGTGGTATTTTATAAGAGGTCAACAAGAGAATAAAGTTTTTTTATTGTAACGGGAACTAAACCCGTGCTTCCCGCACCGAAGTCTGAGACATTAACTACTTAGTTGTTTCGTGGCTAGCAACTCCTCCAATTGGTTTGTGCTATTCCTAAAGATATCAGGTAATCTAATTATCAAGAAAATATAAATACTATTTAAATATTAAAAGTTTAAAAATTTACTATGGTATTATTAAAGTTCCCTGGTATAATAGTTTATATATATATATATAAAATATTTTGGGGGGTCACAAACCCCTTAGCGACCCACATTGAGCGTTACAGAAAATGTTTCAGCAATAATTTAATCTGGACAAAAATTATACTTTTTTGTTTCTTACATAATGCAATGAGTTCCATTGTTCGGCATGAATCTGACATTTCAAATTGTTCAAGGACAAATAACGTGTTTAAACATTAGAAACTTATTTAATTAAATTCTCTATTAATTAAAGTATCATTATACTAAATTATTACATTTCATTTCCTATGCGAATAATTTCAGTTGCACTGTTACATTTTATAGAGCAAGCTTTCAACAAAGTTTGAAAAGTCTTAACACTCTACAGCACAAGTAACTACTGTATGTTACTTCATTTTACAAGCGCATGACCAGATGCACTTGCACTGTTGCATGTGCAAAGTCCATTAAACCTTACATATCTGTTAACATCGGAACTATTAACTGTTTTTACCATCAGATAGCTGAGAAAGATGGGAGTCATTTCAAGAAATACCTCTATTAAAGCTAGTTCTCTTTTATGTTTTCTCTTTCTCTTTGAGGTGTGACATCTTTAGGAACTAGGATACATGTACAGGTTTAAATACTTATATAAATTGCTGGACCCTTGATGCTGCATTGAAACAGTAAATTCATAGTAACCGAACTCATTACTCATTATTGTCACAAAGGCGCCTCCAGAAAACATGTTTTGATCCTTGTTGCAGGGAATGTCTCCTCAAACATTTTTTGTCCACGTCAAAACTCCCCTTGACAAATTTTGGTTTATAATACAGCAACATTCTCCATAAACAGTTTTTGTAATTTTTTTTGTAGAGGGGGACCCATTGGTTACCTGGCTGTTCTAGGGACAATTTTCTTCGACAATTTCATGCTGTTACAGACTTGCTCCCCTTTGGCAGATTTTGTTTGTTATTGTCCCAAAAGAGATCGCCTCCTCAAACATTTTATTGTTGTAACAGATACACCCTTGCTAAAAAATTTGTTGTTGCACAAACACTCTGATAAAACAATTCTGTCGTCTCAAGATTTTTTGTTGTCGTTGTTGCTGTCCTCTTATGGTTTGTTGTTGTCACAACATTGCCTCATTATTTTCCTCTATCATTATCCTCAACATCATTCCTCAACATTATCCTCTAATGATTTGTTGTTACAATGTATCTGTCCTTTTATAATTTGTTATTGTAACAAGTTGCTGTCCTCTAATGATGTTATTCAGTATAATTTACCTTTTTTCAGTAGCCTGAGGTGTCAATAGTTGAGTTCTGCAGTACGCGTTTTTTTGTGAATTACGACACATCTCCAGCTGCGTTGTACAGGTTAAAGTAACAAATAATGTGTTGTTACAACATATGTATCCTCTAACGATTTGTTTTTGTCATGACACTGACCTCTAATGATTTGTTAGAGGACAGCAGAGACATGACAACAAAAAATCATTATAGGACAGATACTTTGTATCAACAACATATAAACGACATATCGTGATTTGATGTATAATGATTCGTAATTGTTACAAAGTATCTGTCCGCTAATGATTTTTATTGTAACGACGTTGGTATCCTCTAATAATTTGTTTTTATCACGACTTCTCTGTTCTCTATTGATGTATTGTTGTTGTTACAGAGTCTACTAGAGTGGCTATCAGCTGTTCATCCCTCAGCACCTCAGTCCCAGCTGGCTCAGCTTGTGTCAGCAGCTTCTACTCTCCTCAGCCCAGAGTCCGGCACCCTCGGCCTACCAGACTTTCCCACTGACAACTTGGACAAGGCTGCCCATCTTATGGTCAGTAAGGGTAGACTCCACTGTACATAAATTGAAGTTTTAGCGAATTTCCCTGTAGGGAAGTAGCTATTACCGTAGGTGGCATGGTAAGACCTAGGCCCGGGACTGATTTACTCTTTCATTTTGATGTCTCTAGAGTCCAAAAACACCATTCGTTAAAATTTGTATATTCGTATGTCGTCAAAATATCTCATACATAAATCTAGATTTATATATACTGTATATATGTGTCCGTGAACGCGATAACTTGAGTAATTTTTGTCTGATTTTGATAAAATTTGGTTTAAAGGTGTAAGGCGGGATAAACTTGAATGAGTTCGCGAACCAGCATGATTGGACCATGGGAACGGGGTTTTATGGGGTAAAAATTAATTTTAGTCATTTTTGACCCCCAAAACACAAAATTTCCCAATTTCTCTCTTTTTAAAGAGCTTAAAAAACAAATAATTAGTAGGCCTATACAAAAGTGTTTTTGTACGGTTATTGATAACAGAGAAAATTCAAAAAATTTAAAATTCCCATGTTATTCTTATGGAGAATATTGTAAGATGTTATAGTTTGCTTGTTTATGGATATATTTTTATCAAACTTGGCAGTTTTATTTATTTTACACTAAGCTATTAATATTTTACTAGAAAACTCACTTTATTAGTTCCCTTGTTGCAGCAAACCTAGGTACTACTTGTTAAACCTAATGTTAAATAGATTTAATTGAAAATCATTTCAGATAAATGGAAATTTGCTTAGTCAGCAGGTTTGCTGTGGCGGGGGTATTTTGGTTTTATGCTCGAACTAATAATGATAAGGGCTATTTGTACATTAAGGTCTCCATATAGCACCGCAGCCAAACAAGCTAGAAGTACATTCTAGAAAGATTTTTAAAATTACTACATCATAAGCTACTGTACTTAAAGGACCAAAAATGCTGAAAAATAATATTCAGGAGTGTGGTTAACTCTTTTTGAAGTAAATAAACTGCGTAGGATTTTTTGTTGGACAAAAGTAACTTTTTGATTCCTTTGGTGCATTGGTCAAAAACTTATAGATTCATACGTTGCCTGTGAAAGTGACAGTTTCTCCATCCAATATCCCAACGGGTTCATTCTGAATTAAATTTTCAAATGCTACAACAATCTTTTAAAATCTCTACTCTAAAACACCCTTACCCTAAGTCTATGTATGTATTGTTACAACAATACAATATACCCTAGTTTATCACCTTATGTTTTAAAGAATATTAGTAAAACTACTGCAGACTTTCAGTATTCAGCACAATGCAGTTACTATATTTTGCACCATTCCCTTTCAAAACGATAAAAAATGTCTATGGCTTAGCTAGACACAAAATAGACACAAAAAATACATTAGTAAAGGAATTTAGATCATTGTTTTTAATCACATAGTTTGTAAGAGGTTCATAACCTCAACTGCATTGCTAAGAAGACAAGGTAGTAAAGACATTTTAATATATATTGATGATCCACAGACTTTATTGTACAATGTTTTCAGGCAGTGTTTCCGTGGATCAGTGTGAGAGACGTATTCTCTCGGCTCTACCCCTACCAGAGTCTGCTGGGTGCCGAGGGTTGTCGGGCGGTAGAGGACATCCTCTCGTCTTTCAGAGTGCCACAGGTCGGGGCGGAATACGAGGTCACCAGGGTCGATGTTGGAGAGGGTCAACACACCACCACTGCAGTGGTACATGCTGGCTTCAGTAAAGCTGAGGTCCAGGTAAGTGTAGGGATAATAGAGAAATGGTTGGAGAAATAGTGTTTCATCAAAGACAGTATAGCTGTGAAAATAATTAATTTTGTCGAAGAAAAATGCTTTATGCAACTTGTGCGCACAAAAAAGTGTGGGACTCATGGATCCTTACAGTAGAACCACTATTAACCGTTACCCTCGGACCCGGGATGTAATGGTTAAGCGAATAGACGGATTACAGAAATCTGGTCACCTGTACAGTAGGTTGATTTAAAAGGTTTTGGAAGAAATTAAACCCTGTATGAGGGAATAATGCATATTTATTTTTAAATTACTTACATACAAGAGCCATACAGAACTGTTATTTTATATGTTGTACGTTTTCAATGTTTGTACAGTGAAATAAAATCACATTAAAAATTAATCTAGGTACTGTAGCGGGGTGACAGATAAAAGAGAGCGATGGTTAAAAGTGTGACAGTTAATCATCATATTGTTAATCATACAATGAGGTTCTATCTACGAGGGTTATCCAGAAAGTAAAGAACGTTTCGTTATGACGCCGCTAGGCGCGCGCTGATCTAGTATATTTTGGTGCGTGGGCACTCGGCAACTCAACTCGGCGTCTAGCCTTGACAGCGGGAGTGTTCTTGCGCTGCCCGTTTTTTCACAATTTCAACTTAAGATGAACGCTGCAATTGAAAATCCCGCCAGTTTTGAGGTGTGGTCAGTGATAAAACCAATAGACATTTATCACCAAGTAAGTGTGTGAAGTTAACAACGTTAGGAAACAACGTAATAAATTAAAGTTCTGTGGAAAATTATGTATTCAGTTTAAAAATGGCTGATTTGAAGCTCATGAGCCATGACAAAGCGAAGGGCGGTGTACCGATTTTGTTGTAAAAAGGCAACAAATCAATACAGGGTAACGCGAAGAACAGTCAGCTGGTTTAAACAATAGATCAGTATAGACCAGAATGCACCACGCACTAAAGTAGGAGGGGGAATAAGGTCTAGCCGGATGGTCACTTGCTTCCAGCAGGGCAGTTCCTATCCAAATCTCATCGTAGCTAGTTCGGTAAAATTGTTTTTCGTTCGTGGAAATTAAATTCATTTCGCGGCGTTTGGTCGGGCAATCTTATTTTTCCTTAAAATCGTACAGCCTATATCCCTAAGGGATATAATTGCCCCGCGATTGGAAATTAGTATCAGTGTCATTGTCAGAAAGTGAAAAAGTTCGTTACCGGCCAACGCAGTTCCGCCATTTGAAAATTACACGTTCGGTTCACGAGTTCAATTGATCGCGTCTTGTAGAATACCGGCTAGTTACATTTCCCAATCCCTTCCCCTTTATTTGTGTCATATTTGTGGACGTCCAAACTGTAAGTAATTTGTGTTATTTATTTGTTAATTTAAGATTTCAGTGAGTCGCACTTTTGTAAATTTTTCCTGTCTTGTTTTGTCATTTCATGTAGAGTAAGCACATGTTCACAGGTTCAAATTCAAATCACTGATTTTCACATCCATTCATATTGTAGCAATCCGCTTTATTAATTAGATTGTAACAACCCTATAGTATTAAGAATAAATAGGTAAAAATGTTTTATAGGGCAATTCAGAGTTATTTAATAAGATTTTTATAGTGTTGGAATTTTACACAGAGTCATTGTTAATTTTCATTGTTGAGCAAATGGTACAATTCTTTTAAAGAGTGTCACAGTCAGTATCTTTTGGGGGAAACAAATTATTATCAGAGAAGGGAGCAGGTAGCTGGTTCGATTGATACGGAAGTGTTGTTGGAAGTTGTGCCAGTTTGAACATAGATGAACCACCAAAGTGCCAAATTAGCTATAAAATAATAAAGCAACATTCTGATAAACATTACTACGATTGAATACAATATTGTTCAATCAGTTGGACTGCGAGACGACCTTCGTTTTTAATCGTTGGCCAACGAAAGGATTTGCTTGGTACAGGTCATCTCAACCATTAGATTAAATACCACTCTTCCATTGATACTTTCGAGATCGGTGTGAAACCGCACCATACCTCCCCTTTGATAAATCCATTCAACAGTTTCAATAAATTTCCAACTGATTGTGTATCTCAAGGTCATTTTTACTTGAAAGAACACAACAACGACTGTAAACTGAAATAAGTGTATTATTAAATTCTGTGCAATAAACTCCAATTGTTACTCACTTTTAGTTCTCAATAACCTTGGTGTTCTAGTATATGCAATAGTATTTAATTGATAAACAAAAGGTAATTCAGTAAATCATAAGCCACTACAAAAGATTCACCTTTTAAGTGCAACACTAGTCACTAGTGTAGTAGTGAGCAATTAAATTCAGTGTAGAATTAAGACTGGTAAATTGATCTCATTAAAGGTATTACTTTATTGGAAGAACTACAAACAGTGCCAGGGGCGTCCCCTAAGGACCTTTGGGGAATATTTATATTTTGCAGGGTCCACTCATATTTTTCAATAACATCAAGCTTCCACTGCCAAAAAGCTCTGTCTGATATTTTTATTTTCTAGAGTTCTTCCAACCTAGGGGCAACCAACATTTGTAAAGAATTCATTAAAGAGCATTGCAAGGAGTAAATATATTTAAATATAATATTTAAATATATGAGAGTCAAAGTATGAGGTTTTTTTCTTTACAGCGGACACCCGAGCATTGTGACTGATGAAACTAGTCGCTAAAGTTGATGAAAGAAAAGGTTTGCAAAAACCGCTGATTCCCGATAACGGAGCTTTCGCTTTGTTGTGTGAAAATTTCAAACAACAAAAACCGTGAAACTTGAAGAGGAGTTTCGGTTTTAAGTTTTTTACCAACAAAAACTGTATTACCTCATAACTGGCGGGATTTTCAATCGCAGCGCTCATCTTAAGTTGAAATTGTTAAAAAACAGGCAGCGCTATAATGCTCTTGTTGTCACGGCTAGATGCCGACTGAGTTGCCGAGTGCACACACACCAAAATGTACGAGATCGGCACGCGCCTAGCATGTACTTTTGAGAAACCATAAGCCGCACGGGCGCACAACCATCAATTTCATTTTTGAATGAATTTGGTCTTGCTGTGAAACTTCCACGAAAAATATCAGTTTTTCGATAAGCCCTCTCCTAAGGGCAGGAACATCAATTAAAAGACCGTATTTAATCACATTTAAAACATTGAAGATACACCAGCTGTTCAATTTGTTTTTGATTTAGTTTGTTTGTTTACTTTTCCTTGAGTTACCTTTTGATTTTAGGTACCATAGATTAGATTTCTATATTGGAGTAGAGTATTTTTCCCTGTGACTTGGACATGTTAAATTGATTTACATACAGAATATGTGCTAAATCAACCAGCAGTTTGCATTGGACGAGGCAGGGAATAATCACTAAATCTTCTCTGTGTTCTCTCCTGTGGAATAACAACAGGAACATTTATATTATACAATGTTTTATTCCATCATGCAGTATGGAATTGAACTGTGGGGCTCAACTTCATATGCCGACACAGTTTTTAAAAAACAAAAGAAATTTTTAAGAATCTTATCTTTTGCACCAAAAAGAACATCATTTAAACCTATTTTCAAAAAATATGACACATTAACAATGCCTTCTTTATATATATTTAAAATGATGGTTTCCTTAAAAAGTAACTACCAATCATACGACAACAATCAATTCATCCATCAATATCCAACTCGTTTTAAAAATAATTTTAAATTTCCAAGACATCGCCTCTGTCTGTATGAAAGATCTCCATTCTATATGACTTTACAACAGTCTACCTGCCAAATTTAGAGAAATTACCAATATTTCAAAATTCAAAAACGAGTTTAAGATGTATCTTTTACAAAAACAGTTTGAGTCTATTTATGAATATTTGAATAACAGTTAAAAATTTTTTTATTACAGTAGGCCTACATTTATTTAGTTTATAGGAATGTTTTGTAAATCTAGTTTTAATAATGGTAATGTCACCTGTTTCATCAGCATTGCTGAAAACTTGAAATGTATTGTGACAATAAAGGAATATTTCATTTCATTTCAACCCCCTCATTTACAATGCCACAAGTTTGAAACTGTCAATCACACTGTGAAAATAATAGTTTAAAACTACTAAAATCACCCAAAAATTATCACAAGATTATAGATGTAACATAGTTTGTGCTATTTTCCGGAACACTTATGTTAATTTTCAATGTAGACATTTTTGTACTCATATTGATTACTATATTTTTTTATTGAGGGCTAGATTCATATTGTCAGTATGTGTGCAGGTAAGGTGTGGTTCAGTGAGCCCCGACAGGCCTCCACTCACAGACTATGTAGACACGGAGAGTCAGAGACGCAGCCTGGGCCAGCTGTTCCAGAGCCATGTGGCGGGGGATGTGTGTGTGGTCGGGCCCCGCGGCTGTGGCAAGTCTGCTGTAGTCAACATGCTATCACACATGTTGGGGTATACTGTGGAGCCTATAGTGCTGTATCAGGTCAGTAAATAATCATCATATAAAGATGGGTTGTATAAGTTTGATTAAATTGTATAGTCAATGGCGATATTTTTGTAATTTTTACTGACACATGACGTAGAAAAAACCCACAAAAAATCTTCATTGTTTGATTTAAACTTAAACCGAGATTTCAATTCAGTAAAGACATGTAGTTTGGCTACCACCTAACTCCAGATGAAATAAGAAATGTATTCTTATATTTAGGGGTTATTTAACGTTTTGTCAAATATCGATTAATCATTTAATGGATTCTGAATGTTAAAAAAACAAATGCATAACAGAACGAATATTTTTTAAGTTTTCGTCTTCAAATGGCTGTGTACGTTTACATGATTTAGACTTCACCTAAGTTCAAACAGTGGTTAACCACTGATACCAGGCCTTTTTTATCCAAGATTTGCCCGATTGTTGTCACAATTTTTAAAATTTTACTGCACAGAGTTGGAGAAGCCCTTTTCCGTGATCAGACAATTTGCTTAGTTTACAAAGTGTAATTAGTTTTTAATTACTGGTAAATTACAGTAGTAAATGTATTTTATCCAATATACTCGTACAAATCCATCTGTGCTAGTCCATACTGCTAGGCTCTTTGAGTGTTTTCATTTATGATTTTGTTCCGTCCCTGTCAGGACATGACCAGTCGAGACTTGATACAACAGAGAGGAACGTTGCCCAATGGCGATACAGTTTGGCGCAACGCTCCCCTCGTTGCAGCAGCTCTGGAGGGTAGGTTGGCAGTACTGGACGGACTACACAGACTTCATCCGAGCACTCTGGCTGTACTTCAGAGGTTAGGGATTTGATGTATTTTGTTTATTCTTTCTATTTTTAAAGGTTTAAAATCCTGGTTTTCTAACCATCAAATGTCAAACTTTCATTAGATAGCATAATTTATTGATAGTCCGATGACAAATTACATTTGGGTACAGTTACAGTCTCACTTGGAATCGAACCAGCGACCTTCAGGTTTGAAGGCGAGCACTATAACCACTTGGCTAGACAGGGATGTCTGAGATGCTGGGAGATATGTTTATAATGGAATTATCTTCTATGCTTTGCCAGTGTAGAATCTTTTATCCTAAAAATTTACATATTTTAAAACTAATTACTTACCTACTGCTTTGGCCACTGGTACCGTTTATTGTACTTGGCCTCTCCCAAGACACTGCTTCCACACATCTCTTCATCTTGTGTCTTAAAAATAATTAATTTATCAAAATATACTAATTTTATTAAAGTTTTGAAAATTATTTAATGTTGGATAGGTTATTTAAAATAAAAATACTCTTCATGTTAAAACTGTGAATTATTACTTAAGTTATGGTGGCCTAAATGCAAAATCATGTTGCTCAAGAATCTTACAAAACATATTTATTCTTAACTCCTAAACTACCTAAGTTTAAATTGCTTTCAGTGATGGTGAAATATTATATTTTTTTGCATTTGTGTAATTACATTCAGTATGTATCTTTGCCACGATGGACTCGTGCTAATTCAGGTATGTGATCTTTATGCTCTATGTAACATTGAATTCTTTCCTCTTCAAAACACAAATTAATTTTTAAAAGCAAACAACTGAATAGTTCTGCAAAGTGGTTGAAGTTTCGATGTATTTGAAGGCTGGTGCAGGACCGAGAACTCCAGTTGTACGATGGTACGAGACTAGTGTCCCACGAGAGGTACGACCAGCTAGCGGGTGAGCTGGGTGAGGAGGGACTGCAGGCAGCTCGGGTGTTACGGGTGCACCCATCCTTCCGGGTTGTAGCACTAGCCGAGCCTCCGGGTGAGTCTGTATTTGTGAGCTGATGTAAGACGGGCCGTGTTTTTTTAGAAAAATATTTTCATTCAAAAAAGTTAATAAATTAGTAGTTAACATTGTGACTGGTGGTTAGGTAAACTGAACCAGTTGGTCTAGTTTAAAATGCAATTGTTTTATTACTCACAGCAATATATTGAAGATGTAAATGATTTTCTAGTTTTTTCTTTGAGTTAGGTTGTGTTATGATCTATATTCTACTGTAAAAATTAGTTAAATATCTCTCACAAAGTAAAATAGGGCTCAACAACACGAACTAAATCCTAGAATTATGGTGGGAAAACTAAATGTATCATCAAAATAAGCAACTCTTTCTCTTTTAATCCACAAAACACATTTATACATTATAAATTATAGTACAGGTGTTGAGGTGCCATGTAATTTCTTCACTGCAGAGTGGCGTTTTTAAAACTTATATCATAAACGGGCAGCGCTATAATGTTCTTTTTATCACGGCTGAACGACAACTGATTTGCTGAGTGCACACGCACCAAAATGTACGGGATCGGCGCGTGCCTAGCGGCGTCAGAACGAAATGTGTTAATCAAGTGGATACAGTGATTCATTCACAGATCCAACTTGGGACCTTCAATTTCCAAAGTAATATATTTTGCTCACCTACCAAATATCTTTAGTCCCCCCCTCCCCCCCAATGATCCTGACTGTCAGTAAAAAAACTACACAAGGCATCACATTCCATCCTACATTCATCCTTCACTTATATTTGGGATAAAATACGCACCTAGGTGGTGTCCCCATCTCAATTGATAATGATAAAACAATAAAACCAATAAAGGTGAAATGCTAAAAATTATGCATTGTTAATGTTAGCCACTTGTTGTAGGTGGAGGGGCGTCCCAGTGGCTAAATCCTGAGGTACTCAGTCTGTTCCTGTACCATCAGATGCCAGCACTGAGTCAAGAGCAGGAACTGCACATTATGCAGAAGAAGGTAGCTTATTTTAACTGTAGCTCAAAGTGGTCCTATCTGGACTGGATATTTTACCATTTTACCAGTTTATGGAATTTTGGATTTTGATTTTTTATTTAGGGTGGCAAACATAAACAAAACTATTTAAACAATACTGAAAAAAGGTTTGAAAAGATGATTGGATTTATTTCCTCAAACCTTGCGCTTTAAGTCTAAAAAACTGAAGCCTGCTCAGTAGTTCAGGGGGACCTTGATGTAGATGTAAGGTCTTGGTGTAGGTTATCTGTACTTTTAAAGAGAAACTCCTTACATGATTATTTCATTTAATCTCTAATCTCACCAGTCACTGATTCTTAGTTTTGATGAATAATGAATTAGTTTCAAGCAGATAAGTGCTGTGTACGGTGACCATGAACTATGCAGTTTGTTAGACTCTCGCTGATTTTCTGCCCAGTTTGGACGTGCTGCGCCCGCAGTGCTGGAGGTGGTCAAGCTGAGTCACATGCTGCGTAACTCTAGTGACCCGACTCTGCAGTCTCTGGCCTCGTCACTCTCCACGCGACAACTGCTGCGTGTCGCACGGCGGGCTGCTGCGTACCCGGCCTTGGGGCCTTACGAAATTGTGCAGCAAGCTTGTCTTGGCAAGTGAGTTTTGCCAATTGAGACAGGAATACAAACAAGTGTATTTAGACCTGAACTTGAGCGAAGGATGAGTAGAGTGAGATGCCTTTGTTGTTTTGTTACTGGCCGAGACCAGCTTTTAACTGTAGCCTGTATCATATATTAAAAGCTCAATGACTAAAGATTGATTGGTCCACTTTTTAACTGTCAAAACGTTACTCATATTTCCCAGGATCGAACCGGAAATATTTTAATTGTTTGTCGAGCACTTCAATCACTCAGGTACTCAGCTATAAGAATCATCAATTGAACATTTCAAAATTCAAACTCTTTATCGGATAGTGTTCAGAACTCCTCTTAAGTTTTAGTAAAAACATAAATCAAATATTGAACCTTTTGCTCTTGCAGTAAAGTAAACTACGCTGACTGCAAGGCGAGTAACTTACCAAATTTCATCATTGGTTATGTTTACTGAACTAAATAAGTTAACTGGACTGTGATGTTATAGAGTTTCCTCCTAATGTTTTTTACATCTGGATTATTTTTGTAGTAACTTTTTTGGGGTTTAATTTGACTGATATCTTTGGATTGGAAAGAATAGGGACATTTTCAGGACTAACACAAGGAAATGCCAAGAGACAGACTACCTATTCATCACTGGAGGTATACATGTCTTCGATACTGATGCACTTTGTTGGGTACAAACAAATAGTGAAACAAACAGATAGTGAAATTAGGTTCTACCTTTATTTCTGCTAACTGCTAAGGTTGTTAAGACACCAAATGAATAATTTTAAAGGAACCTCAACTAAAGTTATGAAAAATGGCAGTGAGTAAAATATAAAGTTATAATTCTAAGCTTAGTGCTCATAAATCTACTGTTTCTTTAAGAAACCCCTAGTTTCATAGCATTATTCTGCACACCTTATTACAATTTTGATGTAGGTTTCTGCCTCCCTTGGCGCGTCAGGCTCTGGAAGCAGTTCTGAAGAGGTCTGGTATACGACCTGAGCAGAAGAGCCACAGTGCTACCACTACGATACAACTTACAGACGACTCGGTGACGGTTGGCGACACTACGGCAGCCCGAGCACCTACTACAGCTGCTAGCAAAGTGCCTGACATCCTCTTCTATGATATTCCCCAGGTAGTTACATAGATCAGTCTAATCTGAAAAGTCTACAATGATGTGGCTTAATTATCTGTCGGCAGTACAATATGTTTGTGGTGGCAACTATGAACGTTTCAGTGCATAATTATCGAACCATCTTCATACAGTTAGTACACTTCTGTTACCGCACTAACATTCTTGGACGGATTTCCATCCCACCGCTGATGCACTCTGGCTTTCCTATACGGAACCGTTGCATCCTGGGGCATTGCTACTAGTACATCATTATTCCTAGTGATTGCAGCCCTTGTCAATAATTTTTTTCTGTGCATATGCAATAGCTATTGTGTGTATTTATGGTTTCCTGAACAGTTTTGGAAAACAAAAATATTAGTCAAAATACTAAGAAACTAGTAAGAGGTTTGAGGCTATGTTTTGTCTCAAAATGCCGCTCCCGTACTGTTTAGAAATTCTACAACCAGAAATTTAGGTACCAATGGGTTGGCTAGCACCTAGCACTCAATTTCAACTGTTGTTGATCCTTTTACACAGCAAACTAATCATAGAACACAATTCATACTCAACATCACTTTTATATCATTTTACTTCGCAATGTAAAATACTTTTTTATCTGTTCACTGTTATTGTCAACAGCATGTTGTACTGCTAGAGAGGCTACTGCAAGACTATCTATTAGGAGAGCATCTGCTGCTTGTAGGTAACCAGGGAGTGGGAAAGAACAAAATAGCAGACAAACTGTTGCAACTGCTCAACCGGCCGAGGGAGTACATACAGCTTCACAGGTGCGAATTAATGTTACTAAATATTTTTCTGTTACTATGTAGCTCTACTGTACTTCAAATCTCTATTATCATCAGCTAAAATGAATTACTGTAGTATCTCTTTGCTACTCTAAATAGTGCTGTACATTCTCCCTACTGCAAGAGTAGTTTCAAATTGGGTTATTAATCCCACATGAGTTGAGGTTTTTAAAGCTTATAGTCTGTGTGGACAAAGCAATACAAAATAAACCGTTACCAGTATTGCTATAATGGGAATATTTGGTGATACTACAAATTTTAGGTGTAACGTATGCTGGATTTGTTTAGGGACACTACAGTACAGTCGCTGACTCTGAGAGCCAGTGTCAGAGATGGAGTGGTGGTGTACGAAGACTCTCCCTTGGTACAGGCAGCTCACACAGGTCACGTGCTGGTGGTGGACGAGGCAGACAAGGCCCCCACTCATGTCACTTGTATACTCAAGGTTTGTTATCTGTTTGCATATAGTATTTAATTGTCAGACAAATAATTTTGCCTAACAAAAGCAATTGCAGGAATGACCTTGAAAAATCAAGCTATCATGCAGGAGGGAACTTGATGATATAATGGAGAAATGTTTATGATGTTGTCATGCTTGCCGGAGAGGACTACAATATCGTGACTGTGGAAATGACCACAATGTTGTCATAATCATCTATGATATTCTGAAAGTCTGGACAAATTTCTGATCCTTCTACAAACAAAATCAATCCATGTTTGATGAAGCACATTTTTATTGACCTCTGGAAATAAAAGACCCAAGTGGACTGAATTATTTTATTCATCATACTTTTCAAATTTGAGCATCTTATGGAAAACACAGTCGCAAACTAAACATGAATCTGCTATGTCTCTTAGAGTTCTTAGACTTCTGTCTCTCATATTACATTTTTTATGCCGTGATCTATAAACATACCACTGATTGAGTGATGGCTATGTGGTGTAGACTCTGGTGGAGAGTGGAGAGATGATATTGTCAGATGGCCGCCGCATAGTTCCTGCTGATGATCCACGAGCTGTCAACCAGAGTCCAGGCATCATCCCGCTACATCCCGACTTCCGGATGATTGTCCTTGCCAACAGACCGGGCTTCCCTTTCCTTGGAAATGACTTCTTTGGAGCACTAGGTAATAACTTTTGTTGCTTGTTTTCTTTTCAAATCCTCCAGAAGACGCTGTTCGAATCTATATATATAATTCCGTAAGTCAAATTTTTGTAAAGAAATTGTGAGTGACTGGATGGCCGTAGAAGGATGGGATGGGTCTTATTTTAAAGGTCTTGACGTGAATTTTGAGGGAAAACTATTCATTTTTCTTATTTTTTTACCATAAATTCGCAACAGAATAAAACTTTTCCCATTAAAACAACATGGGGTTTAATTTGTTTACATCTTTTGAAATTAAAACAGAAGTCATTTACTGCTGATTTCTGTTTACTTCAATACTGCTGATCGTGCTATATCTTGAAAACAGTGATCAATACACGCATTTGGTTTACTTTTAGCCAGTCAACTATGAAATGTATACTATAATAAAACTGAAATCTTGAAGATTAATCGGAAAAACGTCTGCATTCTTTGTTTATATTTAAATCATATACTCAAGTTTCATTTTTTCATGCTTTTACGTTATTGTCGTGTTAAAGGAATAAACGACATAGAATAAATATTCTGTATAAATAATCAAAGAGTCGAAATTAAATCTAACTTCTGTTTTGTTTTTATTTTTAAATCATATGTTCAAGTTTATTTTAAATGATGTTGTTTTCTTTATATTTCTACACATTTTAAGGTTAAGGTTGTGTTAATATATACAACTAAAATAACCTACAAATGTTATTGGTTCTAAAATGGTGTATTTGCATTCCTTCGTAAGTAAATATTTTTTTAGTGCAGTGAATATACAACGTAGAGTAATCATATTCGATCATACTTTTATAAAATCACCAGGGATTCAAGATGTTTTGGTATGTAGGCTGCTGGATATATATTCTTTTCATAATAAGTACTGTAATTAATATGAACGCCAGGGGAAGACCACAAAGGCGGGGAGCTGTTCATAGGAATGACAGTGCGCGTAGAATAGCAAGAGTAGATAATGACGAACTTAATCAAGATATGTTACAACCCCTTTTTAGGAGACCCATGGTAGACGAGAGAAATGTAAATATCCATGATGCAGGATTACTGGACCAAGAGTGCATTCAATGTAGTGCTCTTCATTTTAGAGAAGAACTAACGAATAATCATTTTATGACATGTTGCCATAACGGACTTATTAACCTTCCTCAGCCAAAAACTAATGTAGAACTTAAAAATTTGTTTGAAGAGAGCCCACAACTGTATAAATTCATTCGACAATACAACAGTGCGATGGCTTTTGCTTATTTTTCAGCCAGTAAGAAATATATTCCAGGAAAAGGACCATACTGTTTCAAAATTCAAGGACAGATTTATCGTTCAATCTCAGATTTGCTGCCTCAACATGATGAAGACCCCGTGTATGGCCAATTTTGTACATTATTGACACATCAACAGCAACAGAAATTCGTCAAAGGCGTCGAGAAAATAGTGACTTAAAACCTGAAATATTGTCAAAACTAGCTGAAATTCTATTAGAAAATCCATTTGCACAAATTTACAAAAGAGCTTCGGAAGAAATTTTTTAATTTTGTGTAAATTGTTTACTAAAAGTCAAGATGACCTAAATTACAAAACTATTACATACATTATTGCTCTCTATTTTGATGTCCTGAGCCACATTCAAGTGACCCATCCAACGCTGGTGTGCTGAATGGTAAAGCATCTGTCTACAGGTGACTTGTTCAGTTGCCACGCTGTAGACAACCCCAGTGCCCAGTCAGAGGAGGCGCTGCTGGCTCACTATGGGCCGGACGTTCCGTCGGAGACTGTGTCTCGGCTAGTGGCTGCGTTCTCCCAGCTGCGTGACTTGGCGGATCAGGGTCTGGTCAGCTACCCGTACTCTACTCGAGAGGCCGTCAACATCGTCAAACATCTCCAGGTAATACATGGAAACTAACTTTAAGATCTACTAGTTAGGATTTGATTCATGAACATGTTTGTTTGTTATGCTTTAACATAAAAAAATTGGATCAATTTTACTGAAGTTCATTTCACTTGTGAGTGTTTTTTTTATGTCTACGCATGTGCCATTTTGAATGAAAAAAACTATATAAACTGTTCAAAGAAATTACAAATTTATTTGGATATGCCATGGATTGAACTCTTCCTTCTTACTCCATAGTCTGAGATGCTCAACAATAGCAACACAAGCCTGTTAGGTGTTTTGCCTTGTTGTAACATTTAGTTTTGACTTAACATAACATAATGTATTAATCTGTATTTTTGGACTGATCCATCCATGTTCAATACTAGCTGCAAGTGTCAGTCATTCCATCCTAACTGTTTAAACATTATTTGTGTGTATTCTGTATAGGTATGTTTTAAATTTTGATTGTAATATTTACGTACCAATTTTTCAAAATCAATGCCTTGTCAAAAACGAATTTGTGGTTCTCGGTACTGGTACTTCTCTCAAGAACTGGTAGTACTGAGAATTAATTGCCTTCAGTTACATAACTAACTTTTCATAGTTTTACTTTGTTATTCTGTAGTCTGTAGTGTATTGCTGAGGTTATTGATGTGCCATTTGATTTTCAAGGCTTATCCCAAAGACTCGCTGGAAGACATAGTGAGCAATGTGTTTGACTTTGATGTCTACAGTCAGGATCTTCGAGACACTATACTGCAAGTGTTAGCTCGACACGGCATCAACGTACAACTCTCACTGGCCGAACAGAAACGTGAGTTATGTGCTGGAGTGTTAAATTTATAAATACTTATTTTCCTATAAATTATTCAAAACCGAAGAAATAGTAGATCTTTCAATGCTGAGTGTTAGATCGTGAAATATTGATTACTATAATTTTTGTACGGTATATCCCTTATGTTGCAATTTTTATTTTCATATGAAACTGTCTGTGCACAAACTAACGCAACCCAATGTAGAGAGAAGGGGGTTCAGAAAGTGTTCATGGCAGTAAATAATATAAACAATAAGACATTTTTTTTAACTTTAGTAACAATTACTTCCAGTAGGTTATCACTTGCTACCCCTCCCTTCCATTCACCACTAATTCACCTGTCAAACAACTTCCCCCACCCCTCCTTTCATTTCCCACCCTTATACCACTACTTACATTCAACAGTTTTGTATGTACAGACCGGGAATATCTACAGCTGACTGTACAGAGGGAGAGCGGAGAGGATGTGTCGAGTCCCAAACATGGAAAAGTGGATGAGAAGGGAGACCCCCATGTGGGGGGCAATACCTGGGCCGGGGGTACGGGGGGCAGGGACACTGCAGGGCTCGGAGGTAAGGGGGGCCCTTACAGATTGGACGCTGGACACACCGTCTACCAGGTATGTCTAGTGCTGAAGTTTTGATGACTTTACTTTTGTAGCTTGTTGGAAAAGAAATAATTTCTTTATACCTAAATTGGTTCATTTCAAACAAGACCAATCAAAATGTATATTTAAGTTTTAAAATTAAGCCTTACTAAGTTTGACAGTCTTTCATTCTTTGTGATTGATAAAGTGGTCAGTGGCCTTGAAATATTTAAATTTTGTGTGTAAATATTGTGCAGACTCACCTACTTTACAGACTAACCTGCTCATCAAAACCTAAACTGTTCCTAAGTCTTACTAATATTATTAATGTGAGTTTTTATGTTTTTTTTATGATTGCAATGCTTCAACATAATTAATGATTTCCAATTTCTAAACCATCAAATATTCGGTTAGGATAAAAACAGAGAGTAGACAAAGGGGGTTGACATTGTTACTATTTTCCTTTATCTTACGTTTTAGCAAAATTGTAAATCATGAATATATATTAGTTAAATAACTGAAATTTTTGGCAATCTTCCCTGACCTAGGCCTGATAGGTTCCTGTATTAGGCCTTATTTTGACATTGGTCGGTGCTTTATCTTCGGCGCTAGATTTTTTTACAACGATTTTCTTGTCATTCCAAAAAATTTGATTCATCCATAACTAAATTCAAATTACCCATGTTATTTTGCCACTAATTATATAGTCATTTTAATTTAATAACTGTTCAAATTCCATTGTATAAAAAAAAGGGTTTAAATATTTATTGTGGCCCGAAGGTGAGTGATGAAGAGAAAGCCGCAGTGCCGGAGCATGTGCGCAAGGCTGCGCGGGAAATGGCACAGAAAGCATTTAAGGAGAAGCTGCGCGAGATCAAGATGAGTGAATACGACGCCTCTCTGTATGAACAGTTCTTCATGGCCGTCAGCAAACAGGTGTGAAGTTTTATTGGAGTTATTTACTTGTTTGAGTAGAATAAGTATACGGATGGCATAGTAGTATATTTAATCACTAGGACCCTAAAAGACTCGTTTTGGTATTAGGCTATGTTTGAGTTGGATGAGCGAGAGTTGAGAAACTAGTGCACAAAACCTGCACATTGTTTACAGTTTACAAGTCAACTCTCTAAATGGCTACCATTTTGTTTTACTACTACTAGGTGGCGTTCGCAGAGGCATCCACAAAATTGAGCGGAGTCATCAAGGGTTCATATTATATTGTTAGCGAATTTCCCATATAGGGAATAAGCTATTACCGTAGTACTCATGGTAAGACCTGGACGCGGGACCGATTTTTTTTTTCGTTTTGAGGTCCCTAGAGGCCAAAAACACCATCCGTTCAAATTCATATATATATATATATTTATATATTTATATATATATATATATGTGTGTCCGTCAGCACGATAACTCGAGCAAAAATGATCCGATTTTGATGAAATTTGGTACAAACGTGTAAACCTACGTTTATTCGAACGAGTTCGCGATCCAGCATGATCGGACCATGGGAACGGGTGTTTACGGGGGGTTTTATGGGGTAAAAATAGGTTTTTCCCATTTTTGACCCAAAAAACATAAAATTTAGCAATTTATTTCCAAACCATTTTGTAGAGCTTCAAAAAACAAATAATTTAGTATATTGAAGCGTTATTATGCGCCTAATGGTTACGGAGAAAATTCCAAATAATTGTAAATTTAAAATTCACATGTTATTCTTATGGAGAATGAGTAAACTGTTGTAGTTTGCTTGTTTATGAACATATTTTGATCAAATTTGGAAAATGTTTTTATTTCTTACTAACTATTAACATTTTACAAAAAAAAAAAACAGTTTTACCCTCCCTGATGCAGCAAACCTAAGTACTTGTTAAACTAATTCTATTTAAATCGGGAATAAATGTTATATTTTTAAGTAGACATTTCAGTATAAATCCAATCAGTCAAATGGAAATTCGCTTAGTCTGCAGGTTTGCTGCGGCGGGGGTATTTTTATCATACTGCAGTAAAAACAGTCGTCATTGGTGCATACTTTGCGGGTCTAAAGTAGCATTTTTACTCTTTAGGGAATAAAATTCGTTTTTAGCCTCTATGGAGTAAAACTCAGCTGTTGTAAACTCAGTTGTAAATATCTATTGTAAACTATTGAATACGCATCGAAATATGTAACGATTCGTGCTTCATAATCATTTTAACCTAAAGTCTACAGTCTCTTCCCATAGCATTTTAGCATTGCAGATACATTAATCCATTCCCACACTCAACACTGCCCGCCTTTACTACTTCCTTCACCATCCCCTACGTCGTGGACCTGTTTCCCTCTCTTCCCATAGCATTTTAGGATTGCAGATACATTAATGTAATTGCCAAATACACTTCCCGCACTCTGCACTGCTAGCCTTACTACTTCCTTCACCATTTCCTACGTCATAGACCTGTTTCCATCCCTTCTCATAGCATTTAAGTATTAGATACATTTATCTAACTGCCCAAACGGTTCCCTCACTCTGCACTGCCAGCTTTTACTACTTCCTTCACTACTTCCTACGTCGTGGACCTGTTTTCATTACTTTCCATAGCATTTTAGTATTTTAGATACGTTAATCTAATTGCCACAAACATTGCCCACATTCCGCACTGCTAGCCTTTACTACTTCTTTCACCATTTTCTATGTCGTGGCCTTGCTTCCATCCCTTCTCATAGCATATCAGCATTGCAGATACATTAATCTAACTGCTACAAACGGTTTCCAGTTCCCAAACTCCACACTGCTCACCTTACTACTTCCTTCACCTCTTCTTACGTCGCAGACCTGTTTCCCTCTCTTCCCATAGAATTTTAAGATTGTAAATATCAATAAGATACCTTAATCTAATCGTCATAAACAGTTCCCACACTCCGAAAAACTCGCCTTTACTGCTTAATTCATCACTTCCTACGTCACGGACCTGTTTACCTTCCTTCCCTTAGCATTATTAGAATGCAAATACCTTAATCTATTGGTCATAAACAGATCCCACACTCCGGACAGCTCGCCTTGACTACTTCCTTCACCACTTCGTACATCGCGGACCTGTTTTCCTCCCTTCCCATAGCATTTTAGGATTGCAAATACCTTAATCTAATGGTCATAAACAGATCCCATACCCCGAACAGCTCACCTTTACTACTTCCTTCACCACTTCCTACGTCGCGGACCTGTTTCATTCCCTTCCAATAGCATTTTAGGATTGCAGATACCTTAATCTAATTGTCATAAACAGTTCCAACCCTCCGGACAGCTCGCCTTGAATACTTCCTTCACCACTTCGTACATCGCGGACCTGTTTTCCTCCCATCCCATAGTATTTTAGGATTGTAGATACCATAATCTAATGGTCATAAACAGTTTCCACACTCCAGACAGCTCGCATTGACTATTTCCTTTACCACTTCCTACGTCGCGGACCTGATTTCCTCCCTTCCCATAGCATTTTCGGATTGCAAAACCTTTAATCTAATGGTCATAAACAGATCCCATACCCCGAACAGCTCGCCTTTACTACTTCCTTCACCACTTCCTACGTCGCGGAGCTGTTTCCTTCCCTTCCAATAGCATTTTAGGATGCAGATACCTTAATCTAATTGTCATAAACAGTTCCCACACTCCGGACAGCTCGCCTTGACTACTTCCTTCACCACTTCCTACGTCGCGGACCTGTTTCCTCCCTTCCCATAGAATTTTAGGAATGCAGATACCTACCTAAATCTCATCGTCTTAAACAGTTTCCACACTCCAGACTGCTCACCTTTACTACTTCCTTCACCACTTCCTACGTCACGGACATCAAGCTCGTGTCGTCATTTGATTATATTTATGATCCATACCACCGTTTATGTTCTAATATCTGTGGAATAATGCTAACAGCTATTTATTTATCTACTGCATTCAAAAGTCAACAGCTGATCATATGTCTTTGTTTATGTGTCAAATACTGCTTCCATAAGGATTACATTGAAACTTTGAGACCCAGTGGGGCGGATTCCTGAAAGACTTTTTTAACGCCATATAGATGTTGGCACTCACCGATATGGTCTTTATCACCATGCAAAATTTGAAAACGATTGATTCAGCCGTCTAGGAGGAGTTTGCGTATTACGAAATGCATAAAAGTCGACGTATAAGAGCTTCGCTCAATAAACTAACAGCTGATGTCGAGGTATCCCAATATTATCCATCCAAATATCTAAAAAGCCCACAGTCAACCATGAATGTGTTTCCTCTATGTAACTTCGTTTGTGATTAAAAATTATTATGATGAAAGACTGCTGGCTCCATTTCTAAACCATCAAAATACAACTGACTTTTCTCAGAATGGAACCTGATCACTAGCAAGCTCGAAAATCACCCATCAACCTAGCTAACATGGTATTACATAATAAATTTTACCAGCTAGAATCAGCTGATCTTAGAAGGTAACAAAATAATCTATTCTATTCAACATTTATCTTCACCTTGAACTACGCACATTATGGTATTTGAATTATTCCTGGAAGTTGTACAAATTACTAGTTTATTCTAAACTTGTTCATCCCTAATCCTAATCCAATTGTTATGCCAGGTACAAGCCCTGAGGGTTATAGTGAACAGCCTTCAGGCAAGATCCAGGGACAGACTGTGGCTGAGGAATCAGACAACAGGCGAACTGGACGATGCTAAACTTATCGAAGGTATTGCTGTTATGTTAGGTAATATTGAAATAAAATAGTACTGTAGAAGAAATCATGGTGGAGTGATTCAAACAATAACAATAACAATGAATTAATAGAAGCATCTAGCACGAGCAATTTGTTGCTTTGTAATCTATCGACGGTCCTTGCGGTTTTATTTTAATCGTCACTTTGTTGTATTGCTTTTAAAGCATATAGGGACTTCTACGATAGAAATGTAAATGAAAATCTTCCTCGTATTTCCAGGGATAACGGGTGAAAAGAACATATACAAGCGCAGAGGAGAAAAGGAGCCGGAGGTTGGAACTCCTCAGACAAAACCTAAGAGGCTCAAGCTGGTGGTGGATGTGTCAGGCAGTATGTACAGGTAGGTTGTGCATAGTGTGGCCTTTAGTATATGCCCTATTGGGATCAATTCTTTCTAAACATAAAGGAATTAAACCACCAGAGTTTAATACAAAAATGAACACAATTTGTGTAAAATAAGTGCTAAACGTTCGTTAGGCTTGGGATTGTTGTGACAAACATATTGGGATTGTTGTATTTGAAGTGAACTTAAAGTAGAATAAAGTAGACTTTCTGACCTTTTGTTTGGGTTTGGACATCTCAGGACCCCAGATTCCTAAATAAAAATTTATCCAAGTTTATTACAAAAATGAACAGATACGCTGACCACACATTATAGGAGTGAAACTAGAAAAAAGGACAGCAATAATATTTTTTATGTATTTAACAGCACTTACTAGTTGGACTTTTTTGTTCCCCGTGGACCAAGCAACATGTGTTTGATTGAGACAATATGCAGGAAACTGGATTCTATGAATTTAAAATAAAACGGATCCGAAAAAGTGGAAGTCTACGGTACTATAAATGAGGAAAATTCATGTGAACAAGGTGAAAACGTGAAATTAAAGAATTTCAAATGATTCAACTTTTGTTTTTAAACAAATATTGTTAGTTCAATATTTAATGAAAATCAAAATGTGAGTAAATATTTTTTTCATCTGTGACAGGTTCAATGGGTTTGACGGAAGGTTGGAGAGGGAGATGGAGGCGGTGGTTTTAGTGATGGAGGCATTCCAAGGCTATGAGGCTCGGCTTCAGTACGACATTGTAGGTCACTCGGGAGAGGCTGACTGTATACCACTGGTGGCCCCCGGACGACCTCCGGCCAACAACAAGGAGCGGCTAGAGGTTATCAGGGTGAGTAGAGGATGACGAGATAGCTGATAAACTGGCAGACGTGACCTCAGTTTCAGACTTTGTTGGAAGTTAGCATTTCTGTGGAACTTCTCAAGGATAGTCTTGTCATAGGCTCAGTAGATTTAGAATTTAGCACCACAAGGTAAGCAAGTTCACTCCTCCCTCTCAGACAGGCTGGCTCTAGATAGGAGGCAACTCTGACAAGACAGGAAAGAGCACATCGCTTGAGGATCCACAATAGGAACACATCATGCAGGAACTATGGGCAGACTGAGGAGACTGCAGGTCCTTTTTCTTGTCTGCTCAGCTATCAAATCAATGTATTAAGGTGTAGCACTTTTTGAACTAAGAGTGGACAGACACCTGCCTCAGGAAAAGCTCTTAGACAGGATGCTGCAGTTCAGTTTATCAAGCAACTAAAGTTTTACGGACTACGTACTGAGGCACTACGGAAGGAGTGCAAACAGCCCACATCTGCCTGACGCACCCATGGACAACCAATTTGGTACCTCTGCACAAAAACAAAAAGTTGATAGTGGTCTTCAGGGTGAGTGGCTACAGCAGGAGGAAAAAAATAAAAAATTTAAATAACAAGGTTTAATTCTTGGTTTTGAGTTCATGTTTGTTATGTTACCTAACATATATATGAGCGTAAGCCACTTTAAATAATTGAAGGAAGAAAATTGTGTTGAATTAATTCAAAGATACCATCTTTTATGAGCGGTATGTAAAGTGTACTGCCCAAAACAGCTGTCACCTGTCAGATATGGTTTTCAAGCATTTGTAAAATGGTAACATAGGCTAACTTGAGTCATTACATACAATTGTGTTTAAATTTCCTAACTCCACTGTTTCCACAACATAACGTCACATCAACTTATTATCCTGGAGCATCTTTTGATTATGTATTAACCCAATTAGAGAGACTCATAAACAAGTTTGATAAAAATGACCGAATAATACTTATAGGCGGAACTAATAAAACAGACTCTCAACATCAACATAATATTCTTATAAAACTGGATAAGATCATAAAAGCATTCAAGGCTGAGATTGTATTGACTGAACTGCCATATTTATATCATCAACCGTACGATGGCAGAAAGTTCTTTGAAATCGAAAAATGCAACTCAGAACTATTAGCGCTATCAATACACAGTAATGCTAAATTTCTCATTTTCAACCACCTACTAAATGAGAAGTATCATTATACAAAAAATGGACTACATCTAAACCTGAAAGGGAAAACTACAGTCTGCAACTCCATATTCTCTTGGCTAAGTAAAGGTACAAGAACAGAAAATGATAGTCAAGCTACAATTCAAAACTTAGTTAAAACTATATATACTTCACCTACGCAAGATGCCTCAAAGACCAAATGCAATCCACACAACATCCACGTTATTGAAGCAGACATGGCAGCTATGATAAACAAATACTGCAAGGATACATCAACGGCTTTTGCACACTGCATATCAGCTGACACTGATGATGTAAAAAATATGTCAAAGGGTGTTGCACTGGTATTTAAGAGCCACTTTGGAAAGCAAACACCATCAGACAGAATACACTCGTGCCTGGCTTACCAAAGAAGACAAGGGGAATCTGGGGTATATAGTCTAATCACAAAGAGCCAGTTTTTCAGAAAACCATCACAAGCTAACTATGATCGAGCATTTCATGCACTGACCCAGGATTTCAAGAAGAGGGGTCTCAAGCACCTCATATGTTCCCCTATGGGTTGCATAAGAGACCAAATAAAATTGGAGCATTTTGCTGAAAATATAATTAAATTCCAAGAATCAACTGGTGCCTGCATTGACATAGTACTACTACAAGAGGAGAATCCAACGAGAAATCTCTGGAGAGGCCAGCCCTACAGTCAATTTTTACAAAAATTAAAACTTTTAACTACAAAGCACACGTCAGGAAACTCTATGATGCTACTTCCCACCAACCAACATCAGATGGATGACGACTCATTAGACAAACCACAGCACGAGACTTCCCAGCCGACCCTCCACAACATCATGTGTGTGTCAAGTGAAGTGCAGGCTGTTATGCCCAGTCCAAGTGCAAGTCCCTCCCCACACCTTGCTCCTGGCCCACATTCCTATGTGGAAGCAGTGATACAGGGCAGTGCAAATGTCAGTGTAGTCAGTAATGTTAGTCAAGTTTACAATGGAGGTTCTGGTGATGGTGTTGCTTCATCAAATATTCCTTTTTTAGAAATTTGCCCAGAAAAAAAACAGAAACTGCAGATATAGCAAACAATTTGATTAACCAGCAAACACTATTAACAAAAGTAACATTTCCTCAAAAATACAACTGTTATAAGAAATTAGATGCAATTCTACATTGGAACCTCCAAGGAGTAAATAAAAAAGTTGAAGAACTAGAATTGTTTATTTTAAATTTAAAAGATTGTAATGTTAAAATTATATGTATGAATGAGCACTGTGTAAAAAAAGATAGTAGCTACTTGCTTAACAGAATGTTAAACTTTAGCTTGGCAGATGGTTATTTTAGGGAAAAATCGGAGGGAGGTTCTTGTATATTAGTCCACGACTCTTTGACTTATGTTGTAAGAAATGATTTAAAGATATTTAATGATGAATATGTATTTGAAGGATCATTTATTCAGATTAATTCACTAGCATTAATAATAGTGTCAATTTATAGAATACCTGGCAATAAAGTTACAAAGGAATTTCTAAGGAAGCTTAATAATTTGTTCAAACTACTATCAAAAGAAAAGAAATGTTTTAAAATTTTAATTGCTTCAGATATCAATATAAATTTATTGGTTAGGAATACAAATTCAGACCGATTTCAGAATATTGCTAGTAGATATGGTTATAATATACATTGTTTTGAAGCTACCAGAACAACAGTTAATACTACTTCCTGTATTGACAACTTTATATCAAGTCAGAATTATAATGGCTCTCTACTGTATAATATTAAGCACTGTCTTTCAGATCATAATGCCTTGGTTTTATCATTACCTGAGACTAAACAGTGTACTCCTAGCATTCCTAGAAGATTTTTTACTGATAGTGGTTGTGAGCAATTTTTATTTCTACTTAATAATAGGCTGCAAAACTTTTTTATTTTTGATTCATGTAATAGTAGCTATAACTGGTTCTTAAATGTATTTATTACTACTATGTATGAATGTTTTCCACTTAAAATATCAAGAAAAACCAAGAAAAAATCAAAATCAACTTGGGTGTCTAATGAAATAAAATTATTAGCTGACAAGAAAAAAGAATTGTATCAATTAGCTAAGCAAACAAATAATGTACAATGTAAATTAGACTATAAAAATTGTAAAAAAGATCTTAGAAACGCGATTCATAAAAGTAAACAGGTAGCTAATAATAAATTTATTCTAGACTCAAATAACAAAATGAAAGCTACCTGGACCATAGTCAGAGAGGAAATAGGACAAACTAGAGAAATGCCTACAGAAGAAATTCAATTAGAGATGGACGGCAATCTGATTAAAGATCCACAAAGCGTAGCTACCTGTTTTAATCATCATTATGTCAACACAGTTAATTATCTCAAAATCCCTAAAGTTCCGGTGACAGACACTAATGTAGCTTGTAATACATCTCTTAAAACATTAACTGAATTCAAACCCACAGACACATTAGAAATCATTAAAATAATACGAGGTCTAAACAATTCCCTTGCTGTTGGATGGGATGAAATTCCAATCAAACTCATTAAATTGTCAGAACACATCATAGCTCCAGTTTTAAGCAAAATAGTTAATCAAAGTTTTTTAAATGAAGAATTTCCCGATAAGCTCAAATTTTCAGAAGTGAAACCTATTTTCAAAAACGGATCAAAAACAAATATACAAAATTATAGGCCTATTTCTCTACTTAGTAATCTTTCTAAAATATTTGAAAAATTGATTCACCATCGCATAACTGATTTTTTAGAAAATAATAATTTACTGTCGCCATCTCAATTTGGCTTTAGAAGAAATCATTCAACAACCTTGGCTCTCACTAAATTTATCAACTCAGTTTCGGAGGCTCTGGATGGATCACAGAGTGTTGCGGGGGTTTTCTGTGATCTGTCCAGGGCTTTTGATTGTGTGGACCATCAACTTTTAATCTACAAACTAAAAAACATTGGTATAAGAGAAAAGGTCTTAGGTCTTCTCTCAAACTACTTACTAAATAGAAAACAGCGCACAGTAGTTTACAAACAAAACAAACGGTTTCCGTCTAGATGGGATAGTGTCCATTATGGTGTACCTCAAGGTTCTATTCTGGGACCATTGCTATTTCTGATTTTCATTAATGACCTTGATTCAAATATAAGTGGTAGTTTATTTTTGTATGCTGATGATACTAATGTCGTGGTAAAAAACAATGATTTTCACCAATTAGAAAAATCAATTAAAACAACTGTGGATGAACTAAAAAAATGGTTTTTCAAAAATGGTCTTTTAATGAATGATTCTAAAACCCACTTAATGCACTTTAAAATTAGAAATGGTGAGAAAAACAAGTTGGAGAATTTATCTTGTGGAGAGCTAAAATCAGTCAATACCCACAAGGTTCTAGGAATACACTTTGATTATAAACTAAAATGGGAAAATCATATTCAATATCTGTCCAAAAAGTTGAATTCGTTTAGGTTTGCACTCAGTGTAATTAGTAATACAACATCAATGGATGTATGTAAAATGGTATACCACGCCTACATCGAATCAATAATCAGGTATGGAATAGTACTTTGGGGATGTCAGCCCCAAACTAAAATCCTTTTTAACGCTCAAAAATCAATAGTGAGGACTATGGCTCCAGTTAAAAGAAGAAAAAGCTGCAGATCTTTATTTAAAGATATTGGTATCTTAACACTTACAAATCTTTACATAGTTGAAATTGTTAAACTAATGTTTAATGATATTAAAATTTTTGATGACTAAATTCAACCATACCTATCCAACACGACATCAGAACAAATTGAAATTTCCTCGGCATAGGCTTTCATTCTATGAAAACTCTCCAAAATACATGGCAGTAAAAGTTTATAATAAATTGTACAGCATTTTACAAAAAAATAATTCCAAAAACTTAGCCCTTACATCTGTACATAAACTTCTCTTACAAAAACCATACTACACTGTAGAAGAGTTTTTTAAGGATACTTTTTAAACTGATACGCTGAATGATAAGGTCTTTTCTAGTTATATGAGATATTTTACTTATGTTAACTTTATTATTTTTAGTTTAGTTTTAGTTTAAGTTTATATTCTGACGACACTCCAATCTTTTGTACCTTGTGCATTATAAGATGTGATGAGTAAATAAAGAATTTGAATTTACAGCTAAAAATATTTTGTATTGAAAATTGCCCATTCTTTCTAAAGCACCTTAATTGTATTTTTACTTGTCATGTTTCTAGACTATGCACGCTCACGCTCAGTTCTGCATGGCTGGTGACCACACACTGGAGGCTACAGCCCATGCTGTGAAGTCTCTAGCAGAAGAGGACTGTGACGAGGCTATTGTTATTGTCCTATCCGACGCCAACTTGTCTAGATACGCCATCCCAGCAAACAAACTCACCTCCGCACTGACACTGGACCCTCGCGTGGACGCTTACGTAATCTTCATCGGGTCACTTGGTGATCAGGCTACAAGGTAAGAGATCGGTTTAAAAAAATAAGGTTATTGAGGTTGAAAATTTACATCCTTGTAAAAACTGAATTGTGTTATTACATTTTATTTTAGACTGTCTAAGTATGATGGATTGGAAACAGTTACAACTAGTGATGGTAAATAAAATAAAATCTTGAATTGAACTTCATGATGGATGGCCTCTGGATCGAATAAATTAGATAATAAAGGTTAAAGTTAAGTATCTGTTGTCTGTCAAAAAGGTCCGTTGGCAGTTCATCTGTCTTATGGATTGTTTGATAGACAACAGGTAACTTAACCTATTAATACTTGAATTTAAGTACATTTTAATTTTTGTAAAATATGATAAGGAATCTAATGTGGAAATGAATTTGAACTATTACTTAATTTAATTTAAATTGATTATAATACTATAATACTTCAAAGCTGATATTGCCAGAATTGTAATGTCACGATAATTTCCAACAATTAATTGTAGAAACGTCTATGGGCATCTTGCAATCTCTGCGTCATCGTGGTCATCTCCCGCAATCAAGGCTGCAGTTAAATTCACGGTATTGAAGAATTATCTATGAAATAAAATAAAATGTTAGGTTAGGCTAAGATTCAGAATTGTGTGTAAATAGTTAACCGTGTGTTCCGTGTTTTACAGACTAGTAGAGGCGTTGCCAGCTGGCAGAGGTTTTATCTGCATGGAACTTCACTTGCTACCACAAATCCTGCACCAGATATTCGCATCATCTATCCTCAAAACCCGATGACAAACCTGATACTAGAAACCAATTTCGTATACAATATTTTTATACAATTTGTACAATGTTTAAGGGTATGTTAGGAGTTAGGTTATCTATATTTTTTAAGTAAGAATTATGATTCACTCTTTATCAATAGTATATTACCATCGAGCTTAGGGTAAAATGTGATTTTAGCTTCCTTAATTTATTTTACTTATATAGGTTTCTATGTGGTTCTTCTGTGATAGACTAATGTGAGTCTTATACCCTAAAGTTGTGTTTTCACACTATAATAAATGTTGAATATGTTTTATTTTGTGTTGATTTCCTTGCATTTGTGACCTATGCACAAGTATTATAACAATATCCCAAAAATACAATTTTAGGAAAATTGGGTTAGGAAAAATTAATTTTTTCATACACAAACTAGCTGACCCGGCGAACTTCGTATCGCCTAAGTTATAGTTACGTTTAATTTTCAAGATGATCTCGTTCGCATCGCTCAATCACGTCCTGGTTGAAGTTCGTTCGCTACGCTCACTCACCTTTGGGTTTGAGCTCGTTCGCTACGCTCACTCACCTTTAGGTTGGAGCTCGTTCGCTGCGCTCACTTGCCTTCAGGTTAGCTCGTTCGCTACGCTAACTCGCCTCCAGGTTGAAGTTCGTTCGCTACGCTCACTCACCTTTGGGTTGGAGCTCGTTCGCTACGCTCACTCACCTTTAGGTTGGAGCTCGTTCGCTGCGCTCACTTGCCTTCAGGTTAGCTCGTTCGCTACGCTAACTCGCCTCCAGGTTGAAGTTCGTTCGCTACGCTCACTCACCTTTTGGTTGCAAATTAGCTGTTGTCATAAATGTAAAAGAAATAATAGTGCTGCACCCTGTTGGTAATCCTTGTAACTTTAATGCTATTGAACATCATAGAACAGAACCAACTTGTTTAATTGAAACAGCTGTTAAGATTCATTAATTCCATTTCTCATAAGGTTAACATGGGAAACTCCAGAGCCACTGGGGCGGAGCCCTTTTAAGAATTTCGAAACGGGAAATAGTTTACGTCCGATTCGCATACCTACAGAATTTACACACCAAATTTCATAACGATCGGTGAAGTCGTTCCGGAGGAGTTTGCAGACAAACACTGTGACACGAGAATTTTATATATTAGATAGAATAGTCTTCTCAGACACAGACAGCTTAGAACCATTTGGTGGGTTCTAGAAAATGTCTGTTCAATTAACCTTCAAATTATTAAATTAAGTGTCTTCTCATAATAATCCATCCTGTTCGTGCATTAGCAATGGAAGATAATCATGAACTGGAATTTGAAGTTTTTTTTTAACTTATAGAGCATCTTTTCATACTGTATTTGATTTCAGAACAAATACAATCTTTAATACAATCATCATCATCATATACAGGGTGATTGATATAAGTGTGCCAGCCATTTTATTCGAAAACTATAAGAGATATAAAAAAAGTTAAATGGTTTAAGTCCCTTGGATTTTTTATTAAAAATGTTATAGTCAAGTCAAAAAAATTATTTTAGCCGCCATTTTTCCAATATGGCCGCCAACTTTGATTTTTCTTATGGAACACCCTGTATTTTATGATGTATTCTGGTAGAAAAAGTAATTTTAAGACGATTTTATTCTTGTGGTTTTTTTCATAAACCTAACCGTTTCAAAGATAATAATGGTTTAAGTTGTGAAATTTTTAATGGTTTTCGAACAAAACAGCTGGCATGCTTGCTTAGGGCTTTATCAAAACTCTTTCTCATGCAGAAATTTCAAAACTTTAACCATTATTATCTTTGAAACGGTTAGGTTTATGAAAAAAATCACAAGAATAAAATCGTCTTAAAATTACTTTTTCTACCAGAATACATCATAAAATACAGGGTGTTCCATAAGAAAAATCAAAGTTGGCGGCCATATTGGAAAAATGGCGGCTAAAATAATTTTTTTGACTTGACTATAATTTTTAGTATAAAAAATCCAAGGGACTTACCATTTAACTTTTTTTGATATCTCTTATAGTTTTCGAATAAAACGGCTGGCACACTTATTTCAATCACCCTGTATATTAAAACGTGACAGGGTTTTTTTCACGATTCTGTATGAACCACTTGACTGATTTTCATGATATTTGTGTTGAATGAAAAATAATTTTGTAAACTAGGCAATGTCAAAACCATAATTTTAGTTTAGGGTTTCAGTTTTTTTGAAATTATAGAATTCTAGAAAGTCTAGCAGCCGACACTAACATTTTAGACTAGCTTATGGTATAACACCAAATAATACAATTTGCTTAACATAACAGCTGTAAAGATTTAACGTTTGTGGCACAAATTCAGCATTTGAATGAAAATGAAATGGCATACATAGAATTGACTTATTTATACTATGTGTAATGCTATAATCATTGATACGTTCATTTATTCGGTAAGAGGATGACAGATTATTTAAATATACATAGTAAAATGTTACCATCCAGTCTGAACTCTATTCAGTTTTAATCGACTACTTGATTCCCGTACATAGGACGAGCCAACAGCTAGTAAAGTATAAAAAAAAATACAGAATATGACCAAAACAATACCTTTTTAAGCTGGAAATTTTATTTTGCAAAATAAACTTGGAGTTATACAACGTTTTTAGGGCCACAAAATTATTGCCGAGTGTTTGTGGTGGTGCTAAATTAGGTAATACAATATTTTATAACAGATTAAGTCATAATAGAAGATATGTATATCTTCAAAAACCTTCTTCTGATGAAGTGAAGATTCTGAAAATTTCTCAAAACTTGAGCACTAACATGATACAAGATAAAAAACCAATATTAGCTTGATATCAATTTCTCAAACAGTAGTTGTGCTTTTGAAGGTGCCTCTTCTGATTTTAACACAACTGGTGTGGTAGCTTCATTTTGGTCATGGAATGTGTCATCTGGCCTGTATAAGGAAATGTTTGACTTGGATCGGAAGCGGAGATTCTCGTTCATAGTTTCTATCAAGAAATCTACACTGTCAATATCTTCCTTAGACTTATCGCATTCTGCTGTCACAATGTTTTTTTCTGGCACCGATTTAACTGCTTCCAATTCATTGTTATTGCGCAGTTGAACTGAGCTATTGTCCCGTTTCGGTATGTCTTCTGATGAGTTATTTGAAGGGACAGTAACTCTTTTGTAGTTTTCAAGCTGCTCTTCAAGCTGCTTTCTCTTTTGAGTTTCTTCTTCAAGACGCTTTTTAAATTCTTGAAGCTGGTTTTTCACGAAATTTAGTTCTGAAAGAATACTTTCATTGCTTTTCTTATAATGAATTCCTACTACAGGCTGGTTGTTGAATCCTGCAGGTCTAGCAGAAGAGACAGACCGAGCTCTGCGCTGCCATTGAGTTGAAGGTGGGATCGTCATGATTGGTATACGAGGTTTCGCTTTGCTGCAAAATGTTGTGTTTGATACCACGCTTGGCCTCATGCTGGATTTGCTAATGGAAGTTCTGATACTGCTTGCCGAACCAGTCCTCATATTATCTTCTTTCAGCCACTGGAACTCTAGGGTAGCGTCTGCATTGTTTTCCGCCAGTTGCTGAACAACTGCCCCTACCATACTCTTTGGTATCTTCGTATTTCCTCTGAGATCCAGAACAGACAAAAACTGGTTCTCTTTGACCAAATTCAGAACAAGTTCTCCTCCCACTAAAGATACGTTGCAGTCCTGCAAATCTAACGCTTTTAGCCACAGATCATCTATAAGAGTATCGACAATAATCTTAACTCCTGCATCTCCAAAAGGGTTATGATTGAGAGTAAGTCGTCGCAAACCAGGCATCGAATTAGGATTGACTGGACGATAGCGAAGTGACTGCTTCCAACTTTCCCCGTAGCGACTCAACTTCTGATACTTGAGGAGGTCACATAGTATGCCAACACCTTTTTCAGTGATGGAGCATCCGCTCAAATTAAGCCATATAAGATTCAAACGGTGGCGAAAAACGTAACATAGACTAGCGCATCCTTCATCTCCGATCTGACAGTAGGGAAGTGATAGCTGCTGTAGATTGCGGCAAACTTCTAGTCCCTTGTTGAGACGATTCAGGGAATCGGCTCCTAAGGTTAATTTTTCCAGCAGTAACCCAGTAAGAGCAGAAGAATGAGTTAAGCAATTTGATAACGCTTCTGTCAATTTCAACACAACTTCATCTGTAATGTTTGCACAAGATGTGATAGTAGATTGGCTTTGACTTTTTCTAAGGTTCATTTGGGAGACTTTGGATTTGTTATATTTACTCCTTACACTGATAAAATGTAAACATCTATCATTGCTTATTGCTTCCAATAGTGGTTTCCATTCCTCCGGTTTGAGCCTGTCACCTACAAAATCTAGAAACTTATTTGAAGTATTTAGTTCAATTTTAGAATATGGCGTAATATTAAAGAATCTGCAAAGGCTTGGGTAAGATTCCATGAAGTTATGAACGTTTTTCTTCTGATCTGTGGTTGATGGCGACATTGCCGATTTCAAAAGAACCATCCTGAAAAAAAAAACAAAAAAGTAAGGGTAAAAACTATAACATCAAAATTTCAAAATGGTGATTTTTAGTACTGTAGATAACCATGAGGAGGTAATCAACTACTAAAATTGCAATTCTATGAAAACGGCTGAAATTCAACTGACATGTCCTGTAAATTCTGGAAGTGAAACTATACTACTAGTAAATATCTTTAACACTTAAGATTTTTGTAATAGGGTGTTGCTAGCCTAGTCGTTAGTGTCTCGGACTTCAGTGCAAGAGGGGCAAGTTCGATTCCCCCGGCACACCCACAAATCATATGGGTTTGGAGTTTGGACTGCTTTGGAGTTTTGGGTGGGGGAGGCATCAAACATGGTTAATAGGCCTAATCAGGAGAAAAGTATAATTAGACAGGTGAAAGGGTAATTTATGGGTAATAACCCGGTAGGAATGGGGACTACCCCGAATTAGGTAATATATCCCCGAAATAGGGAAATTTAGTCAAAAACAACCTAAAAATTAGTTGTTGTGGCACTGTCCTGTCGCTTGGTTTGTTGGAGCGTTGATCTATTGGTACGTGGTGATGTTTGTCGACAGGGAGCAAAGACAGGAAGACAATCCCGTAAACATAAGCCATTGCAAAGGCGTTGGACGTCCAAATGTTACAAAATAACCAATGGTTATATGAAACACAGATTTCTGAGGGTAGAATTCCGGTGTTGGACTTGTCATATCTGACAACCGGGAGTAGATTTCCGGGGGTTTATTTCCAGGAGTAAAATTCTGTGGTAAGGCAAATCACTTTATTAAGCAAACAATTACCGGTACATGTACAGTATTAATTATTTAATAATATATTGGAGGTAAATTTACAGTCGCGGGCTGTTTCTCGACCGTGTAAGTTATAGGCCCCCGCCCATTGTGACGTCAAAATAGCCTTTTTTGATGGGGGTAAATTTCAGTGGGTAAAATTTGGCTATACCCATACCATTCCCAACCATTTTGTAGAGCTTAAACAAATAAATAATTTAGGGTACACTTCCATGTCAACTGTTGGCACAAACAACCGAATGAAAATATCGATTGATATATCGTTCGGTTAGTTATAGGTAAGGTTAACCTAACCTAACCAACCCATAACGATGTTTCGAATTAAATAATCGAATAATCAATATTACACATTCGGTTGTTTGTGCCAGCAGATATGGAAGTGTACTCATAATTTAGTATATTGAAGCATTGTTGTATGCCTAACGGTCACGGAGAAAATTAAAAAAATTGTAATTTAAAATTCTTATGTTATTCTTATGGAGAAAATGAAAACTGTTGTAGTTAACTTAACTACAATAAAATTAATAACTTAACTTAATAAAATTTGCAAATTTATTTATTTCATACTACACTATTGACGTTTGGTCAAAAAACACTTTTTACTTTCCCCGTAGCAGCAAACCTAAGCACTCGTTAAATCTAATGCTATTTAAATTGAGAATAAATACAGTATGTCTTATTTATGGAAATATTTTAGTAAAAATGTAATCAGACAAGTGGAAATTCGCTTAGTCTACAGATTTGCTGCGGCGGGGGTGTATTTATTTATTTAATTTAATCTTTTAATTTGTTTGAATCGTAAATAGATTGCCAAAGTAGGCAGAAATATGTTTTGTAACAGCTTGCTAATTTGAATTGAATTGCTTGAAGAAATACCTACTTAAGTTAGGTAGCCTACTACAACTACAGTACCTACTAATTAAAGAAAATCTTTTAAGTAGGCATTAGCAACATGTCAAAGTATACTTTACCTGAAAGCTAATAAATATCGTTGAACACACACACTTTTTTTAAAGTTAATTTAGTCGGGAAAATATAGTTAGCCTAACATATTTAGTAGTAAACAACTGTCAACTCTCAAGCCGAAGCCAAGCCTTGTTTTTGTTTATATTATTGTTGTTGCGTTGCCTAGTGATGTGATTTTTTTTGCGGTTGAGGAGAGGGCTAGTAGGTACGGCCATGACTAAGTATCATGGAGCTTTCATTTTCAGGTCCCAATAGTTTTGTTATCGTGGGACCTGTCATTGATTAAATATTACTCCTTAAACCCATGGTGCCTAGCGTGGGATTCTTAATTTTGTCTTCCTGCATGTAAGCAAATGACGCTGTTGTAAAATAAGGGGTATGATTAGAGTATGTGCGTTCGACTTCTTTTAGACACAGGGACATAGATGTAGATTAGCTTATCTTCTCCCCCCCCCGCTATTATTTTGAGAGTAATTTTGTAATAAGCCATTTTTTTGCAAAGGCTAACAAACAAAAGTAGACTTGTAATCCCACTGAGCTATAATTCTAACTGGAGGTAGCACTGAATGTCAAAGATGCGTGTCGCCAGCCGCCATGTTTGCGTGAGTCTGGTGTCATAAGAAGCCATATTATTGCTATAACTATTATTATACTTGGCTTAAAATACCTACTTTGTATGGTCGCCATTTCAAAGAAAATTATTAAAGTATTAAAAGTATTCAAGTATGACAAAAATACTCACTGCTATACCAACCTAGTTATAAGAAGCCATGTTATTGCTATGGTAAGAAAACTTACTGCTATACCAACCTAACAAAGTCAGCGACTCGCTTTTGACAGACTTCTGCCATGGCAGTGCTACCTCCAGTTATAATTTTAGCTCAGTGTGTAATCCAAATGTAAAATCTGAAGCTTTTTTATGTCTAGTTTACGTTGATCACACAGAGCGCTAGTGTAGACGAAATGTTTAAGTTAGTAGTTTTTGAATATATGAAAAATAACAAAAACATGCCAAAATAACAGGACGGAACTAATATTAAAGTTCTGTCTTCATCTGATCCAGGGTGATAAATCGAATGGCTATTATAGTCATATAGCCATATAGCTGTACTCTTTGGCTGTACAAGGGCAGGTGATTCCTAAACAAAACATTTTCAAGTTATTTAAAAAACTTATAATACTATCAATATAGTAAAACGTCTCCGAACCTAAAATACATTTGAATGGTCTTCAGACGCATAATAACCATAGTTCATTAGGCCTAATAGATTAATTATCCTCATGGATCAGTTGAAATAGTTTGGGTACTATGGGAGATCAAGTATTTGATCTCCTTTACGGACAGTCGTATTTCTACCATAAATCAACCTGCAATATCAAAGGGAGTGTCCAGGCCGCGGCCTTCGAAGTGGCAACGTCGCAAGTGGTGTTGTAACAGCTGTTTTGTTGAGAAGCAGCTAATGGTATTTTTGTATTTACAAAGTATTTGTTACTAGACTATGACAATATTGACTCCACTTCAAATGTACAGATGACGTCTGTCACTAAACAACACCACTTGCGACGTTGGCAATTCTACCAGGCCGCGGCCTGTAGTTAGGGGTGGCCGTGACTATACCCTGCCATACCCTGACCCTAAATTCTGAGAAACACTTATTCAGCATGTATAATTAATTAATACTACTAGTCATTATAAAATGTATTATCGATATTTTAAAACATAGTACTGAACACACAAAGATATTTAAATTATAAACAAACAATATCACTTTTGCTACAGTTTGACCAACATAACGCCTACTGGAATGACCGAATCTGTCCGACGAACCTTTTGACTAACACAACAAACATTCGCACATGCATCAGTACACGGTAGACAATCGAAGTCAGCTCCACAAGCAAGCCGTGGAGATGTCGGACAGCAGGTGCTGCATTTGCAGCAAGGGTCGGGGGATAAATTTGGTTCATTTGGACAACAGTTGAAACGCCCACATGGTCCGAATCTATTTATTCCATAGCATCCACCTGCATTGGAAATCCTGTGGGGTTCGCAAGTGCTGCAGTTAGGTGGTGCACATGCATTAAAAGCGCGAGGTCCACATTGGTAGCAGTCGTTCCTATTGCACGGACTTTTCTGACATGAAACGCAATCCCGAGGTTCACATGGATTCAAAGCACAGCTGTCGCCAGGATTGCAGCTACTCCATTTCATAGGGCTGGGGATGTTTTGGCTACACTGATTGTAACCACAAGGTCCACACACTTGGCGAGGTCCGTTCCAAGTATTGCAGCAAGTCTTTCTACACAATGGTGTCTGGGAGTTCACTTCACACTTCTGGGCCTCCAGATAGTTCACTCGTTGACACAAGTTATTGACAAGGTTGTCCAGGCAGCATACACGCTCTAAGAGAACACGGATGAGTTCAAGCTCACATTGATCTCGGCAAGGGTTGTAACATCCGTTAGCGCATTCCAAGTCTCTTCTTATGCCAGCTAACTTTTCTAAAATAGGCTTCAATGTACACCTCAAGTAGTTAAAGTCTGCAGCCCGCTTGCAGCAGGATACGTATCTGATAGCTCCCTCCAAGCGGTTAACTTCATCTTCGAGAGAGCAAATGTCTTGCTCGAAGCACCTCAGTTGGTTGTTAGGATACGCTTCTCCTCGGCACGGTGAGTCACATAATCCGGATCTACCAGTGAATATTCTTCGGATTTTGTAGAAAACCCCGTTGTTTGATTCCGGTGGGCAACACATAGTACATTGTGTGGATGTAGTTCATGTAGTTTAGGTATATTGACCGTTAGTCAACCTGTATTAAATTACTGTAAATAATCGCGTAGCTCAACAATTTAAACTGTGTAAAATGTGTTTGAATACCTAGTGTTTTAGAAAAATAGTTAATCAATCACCACTGAAAATTTACCATGTTTGTTGTTTTGTGTTCAGAATTTAACTACCTATCCATATGGTGGAGGAAACATCCAGTATTACTCACAAACAACTATACACACACAGCCCTTCAGTATAGAGGAATCCATACTTTATTCGTTATTCAAGGTTATATCATTGATTATAAAACAGTGTTTCGTAATTCAATTCAATTCAATTATTTAAGATGGGGACGCCACTATGTGCGTATTTTAACCCAAATATGAGTGAAGGATGAGTGGCGCGATCTTGTAGTCTTGTTAGTGACTAAGGCCGACATGTTCCTTAGACACAGCTGTTAATTAATAGCCCATACAGCTAATGGCAACTAAGGGACCTACAGTTTATAGTGGAATCCGAACCACATTTTCCCTTGTAATTTACGAATTGGTCTAATTATCAGGATAATACTGCGGATAGTCGTAGTACTCACTAGTGCGGACGTTAATCCACACCAGGGAGCATCGCATCCACAGTGCATCCCTATAAATATCCACAATTCGTGACCTCCCAGTAGCTGGATTACAGGACGACGCCACCCGTCCCAGTCCATTCTTAGTGGCAATATTTATACAACTGATGGTATGTAATTAATTATGCAGGATGAAATTTAGAAGAGTTTAATATAATAATATATACTGCATTTTCTAATCTTATTGTATTGAGTAGATTTCCATCTAGATGTAATTATGGCACGCTTTTCATTAATATTAAATGCAAAATTCCTAAAGTAGATCCTTTAAGTGAGGTGGATAGAAATTTTAATTTAGGTAGAAGAAAATTTAACGCAAACATCACTAAAAACACGAGAGGCGATGTTAGAGGTACTTTTTATAGAAGTTTGTCCAAACAATTCAATGTTTGCATTCAACAAGGACTCTAGAAGTTTGTTTACCCTTAAAAACCTCCATTCAATAATCAACCTAAATTTGATGTGATGTACCATAGTTATACATCTACTGCAGTATTTCCTTAATTGCTTTGTTGAGTTTATTTTTAGATTATCATTTGATTAAACGATCATTGTATGATACAAAAGACGTGAGTAAAATAAAAAAATCTCAAACGTTTTTACCGAAAGTTAAGAACCTGCCCTTGCTTTCGATGTCCAGTATAGGCTGTAAAATAAACATGTTGCTCTATTAATATGTATTGTATAACATATTTTTCATCATCCAGGATCAATGCTAAAACGGGGAGTGTTTACTTTCAAGGTGCCATGTATTTGAATTCAGTCAAATATTTGACCGAGTAATCACAGATGTAGTAGTAAACATAAATAATCAACACTATTCTACAAATATTGACACAAATCAACATACACATTCGGAATCCAAATTAATAGTGTTTTTTTTATATTTTAAAATGCACACAATGTAACGGTTAAAGGCAACTAAACATTATCAAGTTTCATACACTCTTAGCTACACCTTCGTATTCGCACCTTTCAATAACCTTCACAATTAAATTTCCATAAAAGTGTACGATTCAGAAGTTCTTTAGTGAACAGTGAATGAAGAATTTGCCACAGAACTACATGTGGCAAATTTGAGATTAATTATGTGGGATAGATCATCATCGTCAACTAACCTAACTATTGTGGAACTATCCAACCAAAAACTAAGATTAAACCACGATAAACATTAGAATGTGTTGCCCGGAAGAAGCGGACACCGGGTTTCTTTGCAACATCAAAAAGATATTCACCGGGATGAAAAGATGTCAGTCAGCGTGCAAAGACAGAGTCTACACGTACTCTATGAGCCAACTGAAGTGTATAGAGAAGGAAATCAGTATTCTGGAGGATGAGACTTATTGTCATGAAAGTACGATCAGGGACGCCATGTGTGGCGACTGTATGACTGACAGCGAGTACTTGAGATCTGCTCTGTCATCGATCATGGATAAACTGGAGTGTATACGGTAAGTAACATATTTGGCTTTTATAACGTGAACTGGAACTGCCAGTCAAAATGGACCTTCTAGTCTGTGCCGAGTTCTGAATACAATGAAGTGTCATTACGGCAATTTAGTTACTTGGAACGGTGGTGGCCGTATAGTGATTTGATAAGTCGTTATGTTTGATTTTCCAGTGGAATGAAAACCTGCAGTTACTCTGTTTAGGACTATGTCATCTTCAGCCCTTTTCTGGCCTTTCACAGGTTAGGTGGTTGGTTTCAAACCAGCAACGTATGGCATGCCAACCTAAAAGGTTACGTGTTTCATGGCTTATCTAACTATTTAAGACATTTTTATGTATGGTAAATATCAATAGTCGATGTGTGCTTTTAATCCTTGCGTAGATAACCTAATACAATATAAGAATATTAAATTATTTTTGTTCTCTGGTGATGCAACCCGCAAAGATAGCAATGTTTTAGCTACAGGCCTTTGAAATTTGTTTTCAAATAGGAGAAAGATTAGTTGACACAACACCTGACATTAACATAATGTCGAAACAAGCTTCAGTCATTTTACAATTGGATGAGTCTACTTTCAATATCCAAAGTCATGTTAATACTTTAATACTTTTCATTGAAATGGCGACCATACAAAGTAGATATGGTGTCTATAGAGCCGAGAACTATTGGTTAGGGAGTGATGGTAATTTTTATGTACTTTAAAGTTCATGAAACCATAGTTTAAGCCAGATCATTAGTTTATGTTAAATCCCAATCTATTGGATTTCTAGAGGCATTAAATGTTCAAATTTTGACAGTTAGACATTTGGAATATTTTATAGGCTCTCATTCACCGTCCTGATATTGGAAAAGATGAGGATCCCGGTGGGCGCGCCACCTACTGAAAGGCCCCATCAATCAAACAGTGTTTAATTTGTAAAAATAATTGCTATAGCCTAATCAATTTTTAGGACGTTTTAAATTATTTTGGGTGAAATATAACACATTTATGTTTGCATACATTTTTGAAACATTTTCTTTGTTTCAATTGTGTACAACAACTCAGTGACGTAGCCAGGATTTCAAAATAGGGGGGTCAACCGACCGGGGGTCAACGTAAAAGGGGGGTCCGGGAAAGTTTTTAAAAATATAGGCCCTAAAACGGTATTTTTTAGCTCTCTTAGCATTGAAAATAATCAATCCTAACGTCAATACAGTGTGATTATATAATTTTACATTTAATTTAACAAAAAAATGTTATATTTAAGAGGACCCCCCTGGCTACGTCAATGAGCAACTTAACTTCTTGTAGACTTGTTCTCGTTTGTAATTGTAGGCTTATAAATTCGTACTACTGTGTTGTGTATTCTAATGTTCAACTGCTTCTAAACTAAACTATTTAAATACCCAGGTGTGACCTGCAGTGTGCCCACGAGTGTTACGACCCTGTGAGGGACCGCTGTGAGAACGAGCTCATCTGTCAGCTGATGGACCGCACCAGATGTCTGGAGATGCTGGTGAGCGATCTGCTGCAGCAAGTCTGTCTCCTGGAGTGTTCAGGCAACGGCTGGTCCGCCACCGGCAACTGCGGCAGACGATGCAAGCCGGGCTTTAGGAGTCCCTGCTTTCCTAGGAAAGGGTCTTGTGAACCTTGCATACCCGGTTGTGAGCCCTGTGGCCCATCTCCTTGCGGACCGTCTCCTTGCGGGCCATCTGCATACAGCCCTTGCCTACCCTCCCGTCCATGTGGACCCTCCGCTTGCAATCCTTGTGGACCCACAGTACCTTGTGGACCAACTTCTTATGGACCCATCCCTTGTGGACCTAAACCCTGTGGACCAGCTTATCCACGACCCACTTGTGAAGTCGACTGCCGCAAACCTAACTGTTCTCCTAGGTATTCAGGGAGAGCCCCATGTGGAGTCGGATGCGTCAAACCTTTCTGCAAACCTGTCTACCGCTCTGGCAGGTATTACGATCGTTATTGAATTGATTGTTTGGAGTATTTGTGTCATGTGCTGTCATGTATTTTGTAAATTACATAATTTAACACCGATTGAATATTTGTTTCAAGTAACTTGCACGCTAAATTAATACTGGTTGAAATTTCAAAGTTTGTATATAGACCGACTGAAATTAAAACTTTTGATCAAAATTAAACTAAAACTCCTCGATAGCTTAAGGAACACATCTACATGAACCTGCACTAATATCATACTTGGATATTGCCAGCCCAGATCGCTAGTTCGAAACCCATCTTATGCTACAGTAGAGGTTTACATTTCCAATAAACAACAACTCTTAGGAGTCCCTTAGTTAAGCGATGAGATTCTATCTATCGGTTGCTATATTCATAGAACTAATTTAAAAATTCAAAAAAACCTATTCATAATTTAAATTAACGACCACTTTGAGTTTGTAAATCAACTGTAAACACGATGAACCAAAATGCTGGAAATTGATGAAAGAAAGAGCTTAAAGGAAAATAAAGTATGCATGAAGCTCCAAGGTTGAACAAAGAAGCTGCTTGCTTTCAGGAGGAACTATGCTCAAGCCCCTGAAGCTTTTTGTGTCAACCTTAATTTACCTTAACTAAGTTTTTAAAAACTGCGTGGTCTTTAATTTCCTCTTAGCTTTGATTATAAAAATGGTTTTAAACATTGTATTAGCTATTTATTAATTTTTCAAAGCTTAGACGGAATTTATAGCTATTACATATTTTTATGATTTCGTAAACAAATTGTTTTACGAATAAACTTTATGTGAGTAAATTAGGCGACATTTTATACAAAGACAGCATATACTAAAATATTTTTCGTCACACTGCAGCAAAAACGGCCGTTTTTAATGCATGCGTTGCGGGTATAAAGCATCGATCTCTATTACAACGTAGAGATCGATGGTCTAAAGTAGCATTTTTACTCTCTAGGGAGAAAAATCAGCTGTTGTAAACAGTTGTAAATTTGAATGGTTGTGGCTATCGTATCGATCAAAATTATCTATAGATCGATTTAGTATAGTAGGTAAAGTTTTAGCCTACTGTTGTCGATTGCTCGAGATAGGGTCTGACTTAGGGGAGGTACAAATGAGGCATTTAGTTCAAAATTCCTCCGTGAACAGCGCTGTAGTAAAGAGCACTTTGGCAATGAAGGTTTACTAATTGCAAAAATAGTTCTGTTCATAAAATAAAATTATAAATGCCTAAAATTCTATTTTATTAATTTTTAATTATAAAATGAAACTAGAATAACCTAACCGAACTAACCAAACTTGCTGATAAAGAAATAATATAACAAAAGTTTATAGTAATCGGAAAAATAATTCTGTTTATAAAATGAAACTAGAAATTGCTCAATTAAAATTTTATAATGACTTAATAATAAAATTAAACTGTAATAACCAAACCAAACCAACCAAACTTGCTGAAAATGAAAAAATCTTGGACAAAAAGTTAATGCCACCGGCGGGATTCGAACCCGGGACCTACAGTTAACAGCCCAGCACGCTAACCATTAGACCACCGAAGCTGATGGCTAACAACCGTTTTGTTACGGTAATGGCGTTCCCTCAGCTAATAAGAAGCCCACAGCTGTCATCGTAGCCTCTTCTATACCTCCCCTGAGTAAATACCCTCGAGATATCAATAGACAAAATCATTGAATCACTTACTAAACAGCTGTTTATTTGCATTAGCAGAATTGAAAACAAGCTTGAAGTCGTTTTGAGAGGTTACCTTTACATAAAAATCTTTCGTTTTCGAAACTTTGTTAATTAATTATGCAATATGACGAAAAATATAGTTCACCACACGGGCAAAAGTGACTTTTTTACCCTCGCTAAGTTTAAAAAGAGTCACTATTGATGAAATATACTATTATCTCAAAGATATAAAATACAATATCAGAATTTTTCCCAAAGAAACACAGATTCGAGATTACGTATAATACAAAGCAGAATTCTATTAAATGCGAACGAAAGTTCGTTGTTGCGAGGTTTGAATATGTTGAATAGCTTTTTCCTGAAAGACTTCAACAATCGAGAATTTCAAGCGCCCTACTCGAAACCACTCGCTTCTTTCAATAAAGCGTGTTTCTTTATGCACATTTTAAACCTTAACCTTTTTCCAGGAGCACTTGCGTGGAGTTTATTCATTACATATTTTTAACAATGCATTACGAATTAAAAACAAACTAACTGCTGCGTTTATAGTTGCAGAGGGTGCTTTGTTGGAGTATGAGTGTAAAAATATAAAGATAAGTTTCACAAGACGCGTAAGCTTACCCTTGAGACTCGGAGGGAAACACGATAGTCTACCTTTACTGCTGTAGGGTATGTTTTGTAAATTTCTTTCACTAAACAAGTTTTTTATATAGCTCAACAGTAAACAATCAGTGTGACAATGAATGCTTGAAAACACAACAGTACGATACCATACAATTAATTAACCGTATATTATGTTATTTTTTATGAATACCATGTACGTAGATATACAGGGTGAGGCAATGAAAGCACACCAATTTATAAATAGTACAAACTCAATAATATTCACCCTATCGGTATAAATAGCACATCAAAACACAGTTTATTTTTTGCCATTTTAACTTAATATAGTAATTTTTTTCATTTATTGAAAACAAAATCCTGCAAGTGACTTCCTTGTCCTACATTACATTCCTTTTTAGTCTTTTGAAAACTCCATGAAATACTCCTCCAGCATTTCTTCAGGAATCGCTTTAGTATTTGGACGATTCTTAGCTTCGGTCCAAGCAAATCTGTGGGGGCGACTTTGAAAAGCCTCGAACTTCAAGTAACTTATCAGAATAACCCCCCCCCCCCAAAAAAAAAGAAAAAGAAAAAAGAGCCAACGTAAAGCTTTCATCAACAAAAGCTTCCTGGCAAATGTCTTTGGACTTCGAGTTACTGCGACTCGCACTCTTTCAAAATTTGCTGGTGAACAAAGAGTTTTGCGGCACACACCGATTATTTTTAAGGTTAAGCTGTTATCCTAAATAATTTTACCCAGTTCACCATTGTTTTCCAATCTGGAACAGTGCCATGTTGACTAAGGATGGAATGTGGTCCAAACAATATCTGGGTTTTTGCACAAGAATCACTATTTTAAAAATAGGTTTCCCCATCAAAATCTCAGTGTTAATAGCCTCAGGCATAATATTTAATAAAATGGTATAGTTTAATTGATGTTATAAGCATAGCTGTTCATTCATTGTTGCTTTACTTATAATGTGACAACGAAAGAAAATTGGGGTGCTCTCACTGCCTCACCCTGTACAACAACTTTAGAGTTAAAATAGCCACGTTATTTTGTGACGTGTTTTAGCGAATTTCCCATATAGGGAATAAGCTATTACCGTAGTACTCATGGTAAGACCTGGACGCGGGACCGATTTTTTTTTTCGTTTTGAGGTCCCTAGAGGCCAAAAACACCATCCGTTCAAATTCATATATATATATATATATATATATATATATATCTAATATATAAAATTCTCGTGTCACAGTGTTTGTCTGCAAACTCCTCCGGAACGACTTCGCCGATCGTTATGAAATTTGGTGTGTAAATTCTGTAGGTATGCGAATCGGACGTAAACTATTTCCCGTTTCGAAATTCTTAAAAGGGCTCCGCCCCAGTGGCTCTGGAGTTTCCCATGTTAACCTTAACTTATGAGAAATGGAATTAATGAATCTTAACAGCTGTTTCAATTAAACAAGTTGGTTCTGTTCTATGATGTTCAATAGCATTAAAGTTACAAGGATTACCAACAGGGTGCAGCACTATTATTTCTTTTACATTAATGACAACAGCTAATTTGCAACCAAAAGGTGAGTGAGCGTAGCGAACGAACTTCAACCTGGAGGCGAGTGAGCGTAGCGAACGAGCTAACCTGAAGGCAAGTGAGCGCAGCGAACGAGCTCCAACCTAAAGGTGAGTGAGCGTAGCGAACGAGCTCCAACCCAAAGGTGAGTGAGCGTAGCGAACGAACTTCAACCAGGACGTGATTGAGCGATGCGAACGAGATCATCTTGAAAATTAAACGTAACGGTACATTCTTTCCATCGGTCTGTCTTAGGGGAAACCTATAACTTAGGCGATACGAAGTTCGCCGGGTCAGCTAGTATATTTATATATTTATATATATATATGTGTCCGTCAGCACGATAACTCGAGCAAAAATGATCCGATTTTGATGAAATTTGGTACAAACGTGTAAACCTACGTTTATTCGAACGAGTTCGCGATCCAGCATGATCGTACCATGGGAACGGGTGTTTACGGGGGGTTTTATGGGGTAAAAATAGGTTTTTCCCATTTTTGACCCAGAAAACATAAAATTTAGCAATTTATTTCCAAACCATTTTGTAGAGCTTCAAAAAACAAATAATTTAGTATATTGAAGCGTTATTATGCACCTAATGGTTACGGAGAAAATTCCAAAAAATTGTAAATTTAAAATTCCCATGATATTCTTATGGAGAATGAGTAAACTGTTGTAGTTTGCTTGTTTATGAACATATTTTGATCAAATTTGGAAAATGTTTTTATTTCTTACTAACTATTAACATTTTACAAAAAAAAAACAGTTTTACCCTCCCTGATGCAGCAAACCTAAGTACTTGTTAAACTAATTCTATTTAAATCTAGAATAAATGTTATATTTTTAAGTAGACATTTCAGTGTAAATCCAATCAGTCAAATGGAAATTCGCTTAGTCTGCAGGTTTGCTGCGGTGGGGGTATTTGACAATGTATTGTAACTATTAACTTAATTTGCATGAAAGTAATTCTATCCCCTCTGGAAAAGTGTATAAGAAATTATATTGCTATATGAATCGAATACGTTTTAGATACGAAGGGGCAATACTCGATATCAAACTAACAGTGTTTCAACAGAATGATAAACACAGTGAATATATTAAACATCCGTCTCAACTGGGACGAAAGTTGCCAAAT